AATATAATTATTCCAGCTTTATTTTATTGTTTACATGATATATCTTGTTTCCATCCTTTTACTTTTATCTTATATATGTCCAGAGTGGGCTTTTTGTGGATAGAATACAGTTGGATTTTTAAAAATAAGCAGTCTGACAAACTACCTTTCAGTTATGGTGTTGACCACTTCCCTTTAATATAATTATCAGTAATGTAATTATCAGTTTAAATCTATCATCTTCGCATTTTCCATTTGTCCCATTGTTTTTTGTTCTTTCCTCTTTTTTGATTTTTATGATTCCCATTTTATCTACTAGTAGCTTACTAATTAAACTTTTATTTGTTTAGTGGTTTACAGTATGTATCTTTAATGCACCATGGTCTCCCTTAAAATTAAATACCACTTATACAGTATATGATTACTAATTTTTACTTTAGACAATCAATGATCTCTTAAAGAGATTTATTTTTATATAAATGTAAGTAAACATATTTATATAAATTTTTGCTTACTTATCATTATTGTATTTATTTAAAATTTTTTACTATTTCTGCCCCTCTTCATTTCTTTGTGTAGATTCAAATTTTTATCACCACCATTGGGGGCTTTTTCAGGTTTTCTGCTCTGGCCCAGTTCTTTACAATGAGATCTGTGGCAAATGTGTGTGGATTTCTCTTGTGTCTAGAGCCTCCATAGATGTTAACAGTTGTCCCACTGTTGATCTTAGTTATTTGGTAAATTTTTAATTTTTTCTTTTTACCTTCATTTTTATTGGTTACCTGTCTCTTTTGTCCTTTGCCAAAGTAAAAATAGTTCGTGAGTCCTGTCTCTCCTCAGAGTGACTTTGGAATTCAGTTGATAGTCTCATAACCTTAGCTCTTGGATAGACTCAAGAATTGTTAGGGTTTTATAGATTATCTGATTTTTTTCCTCATTTTTAGACAGAATGACATTCTCTTGTGGATTTCTACATCTTAAATAGAAGCAGAACCTGAAATACGTAAAGTAACCTGAAAAGTTCAAAGTGCAAAATAGCAAAGCCTTTCTTCTTCATGTAATTTAGTCCATCGCCATAGAAACTCTTTTTAGCAAAGGTTATTTCCTAGAAGTTGTAGCATCATGGTTTCAGTTGCAGATAACAAAATTATAGGAGCTATTTTGAACAGAATGGGATATAATTTTGGAAATTGGGTGATTAAAATCATTGATAGGGTTAGAGAAGTAGGCCCCCAGGCTAGACTTAAGAACAACTCCACAGAAATGGCCCACAAGCGCTCGCCTCATTCCTCTGCCTCTTAGGGAAACTGGGAAGCTTCTGGCCTAACTTCTACTCCAGGATTACACTGCTTTAACCATGATCTTTGGATGAGGACACCTCTAGCCACGCTTTTGACTTTAGAACAATTTTATGTTTCCTTGTTCAGCTGCAGCAGATTGATGCCTTGCGCACCATCCTCTCTTAATCCTGCTTAATTCACTTCTGAATTTAGGTCTTATGTACATATATCTGACTGGAAGAAATAAATCATAAGGGAGTCTTGAAAATATAACGTTTGGATTTCTAGCCTTTGATTATAGGAAAGTGATCTAGAAGGAAGTTGGAAAAGAGACAACAGAATCCATTTGAATGAGCTGGTTTAAGGAGAAAGAGGTTTATTACAGGGTGTTAGAAAGCTAACAGAACTTTTGGGAGTTTCCAGGGATCCAAGTTTAGATGCTTCATGGCCAGGACGTGTAAAGCCAAGAGCAATATCTAACCTCACAATGGCAACGTGCTAGCAGAGACCCCATTACAGTGTCTGCTGCCTCTACCACCAGTCTTGCTTGATTTCTGCTTCACCTTAGTCAATAAATGCCACATCTCTAGGGGCTGTTTTTCGAATACTTCACTTCTTAACAATTTTTGTATTAGCTAGAGTGTTTTTGATTATGGGTGAAAGAAACTCAACCTCATCTTGTTTAGAATAAAGAATAAATGTATAGGTTATATTAGAGTTCTTAGTTACTATGTACAGAATTCACTATATCTAATATAAGTAGAAAGGAATATAGGATATTAGTTTCTCATAGAATCTCTAGGAAGACTAGAGAACTAGGTTTGGATGCTACTCGTCCAGTAACAGTGGAAGCAACCATGCCTTCTGCTGCTTAGCATCCATGATGTCAAGCATCGATGGCAGAAAGGTCAACACAGATGGCCCAGAAGAGCATGGTACCTCAGTCATTGTTCTTGCCAAACTATCCAGTCTCCCTGCATGCGGTCTCATCTCTTATTGCTCACTTCCATATCTCAGTGTCATTTTTGTCTGCTTGGCTAGCCTGGCCCATAAGTCTAAGGTATTTGGAAACAGTTAAGTTGAGAGGTTCAAGGAAGGAAGCTAGAATTGGGTTGGAAATGGATGGATAGTATCTGCCACTACCTACTTCTCTGGCTATTTAACATCTGTCCTTGCTATCTGTACATGCTTCCTTTCTATACATCGACTTTAAACAAAAGTAATTATTTCTGAATTAATAGAAACTGTGGTACTATTTCTTCAAATGGGGAGCCCCAAATTTAATATTACAGCATTCTTCTCTGGTTGATGTGTATTCATCCTTTGATTTTAGCCACAACCTCGTCTTTACAGCTTATACCTTCTGCATTAAATTATAAAGATAAAACTACCAACAACAGACCTTATATGAATTGAAAGGGAATTGGGGTGCAGAAGGAAAATAATTATACCAAGCAAGGAAGGAAATATGGATGGTTTCCTTAGTCTTCCTATCTCCTTTTCTGAAACTCATCCTGAGGCCTTCGTTGGCATTCAAAATCTAATTCCCCCACAATTCTCTCACTTTAGTACCTTTGATGCCAGAGTTCTTAATCTAGTAGGGTGACCCAAACCTTCTTTCCTGAGGGTTCTGAGCCCTGGGTTAGCAGCAGTGGTCTGTGGGAATAAGTCTTTCATAAGTCTGTGGGTGATATTGCTAGCCGATACACTATAGGCAGAAAAAGCAAGTCATATTTAAAATAGGTGTCTGTTCAGTGAGAAGATAGCTGTTATTCCAAGGATGCTGAAAGTCTTAATGTAACTGACGTGTTACTAGGAACGGTGCCATGTTGGAGGCCCAGTGTACTCTGCTTCTTGCAGATTGGACACCTGGAGTAATCAGGTCAGATTTGGTGAGAGGATAGCCATGTAGTGGGACCCATGTGTAACCTCTATCTCCTTGCCTCTGTGTCCTCTTTGTTTATATATCCTTTGAGCAACAATCATTGGTGTAGTTAGGAAAAGAGGCTGATTGACTGATAGCCATAGAGGCAATAACCTTATTCACCGGATACTAATGAGCATCTTCTCTGCACAGGGCGCCTGTGAGTAAGAATTGGGGCCATCTTGTTCTCTGTCCCACAAGCCTCTTTTCTAAACCTCATGGTTACCAACCCTCTAAAATGATTCCTTTCAAGTCACTAATCATTGTGACAAGTAAATAACTACTGTCCATGAACGGGTATGGATTTAGTGCTTCTTGTCATCTCTCCTTCACCTCAGAGTAGAAAACCAGATGTTTAATGTTCCACCCTCCAAAAGGATCTCCCTTCTTCACTGTGCTTTAGAGCTGCTCTTGCTCAGGACTGAAATGCTGTAGCAATGTAATTCTGGTTGGTGCAGTATATCACGCACGCCATCTGCTACATTCAGGTTTTTTCCCTCCCAAATTGACCTGTCATAGGGAAGTGAGGGCTGAGGGAGAAATGATACTGCATCAGGAGTAGGCATACCGGGGCATGTTACTTTGGCATTCACGACCTACTCTTCTTTTTGATAAGGATGTGGTGGTGCTGAGCACGCCTGATTAGGACTTTATGGTTTAGATGAAGTATGGATCATGATGATGCTCAGGTTATATGGTCCCTTGGTTTCCTTTTATCAGGCTTCCAGGTAATTGCATCCTAGGGGGTTAGTTCTCAAAAGTATAGTTAGGAGATGAAGAGGTTTTTGCTTGCTTAAAACTATAGGGGACTATGCCAGTGACTGTCCTGTGAGGTCTTGCCATAAGGTTCTTAAACCATCCCTCGGACCTTTTCAACTCCATTAGCCTGCTTGTTGGATTGGAGAAAACTGTTTGCTTTAGTTGCAGTGCAAATGCCAGTGACGCACTGATCTGGTCCTGTAAGGAGACCACATTTGTAACTGTTGTTGGAGTTGCCACTCAGTTAAGCTTAAAATAAGTTCCCTTCCCTAAACTCTATCTGTTTTTTCTTCATATCATATAGGTGAGTTAAATGTGAAGATGATAAGGGTGGCATAGATGTTTTACACGTATGTCACAAGCTGTAATGTGTGGTCTGGGAAGCATGGTTTTAACTCTCTAAACTCGATGGTGCATTAGGATCAGCTAGATGGGAGCCAGAGAGAAAGAGTGCTGAGTCACCTATCTGTAAAATCTGCCACAACAGCTAAAAATCGTAAATGTGATCAGTCATTTTTTTTGAAGGTTTGATCTGCCTCGATTTGCATCTTGAAAACCAGCAGATCTCCCTTTACAGAGGGACATATTGAATATATTCTTTGGTTGTGGGTCTCATGAGTCGGAGCTCATTTGTCCATTTTTGAATAATGGAAAATAGCAAAGGCAAGCTTTCTATTTTTTCTAATAAAAACCACACTTGGCTATGTTCTTTTTCAGAGATTTAGGTTATTTCCAAAACAGAGGAAAAAAAGATAGGTCAAAATAGAACAGTTTTTAAAAGGATGAGAAATATTATGCCAGAGACCAACTGACACCCAGTTGTAGCTGGCATCTGTTTTGGAAGTTAAAGTAACTGGCTAAATCTATTGAAATATCATTTCTAAAAATTGTACTTCAACTGCACCTATAGTCCAAGAACAGCTTTTTTGAGTAAGTCATGAAATAGTATCAGTCATAAGGTTTATAATTTTTAACAAAATGGGAAATGAGAAATGGAGTGTGTTGTATTAGAGTCTCTGACTGACTTGCTTTCATTATCATGTTAAATATTTTTTCAGCTTCCTTGGAAATCATTGACTAGCATCATTGAATATTATTACATGTGGAAAACTACTGACAGATACGTGCAGCAGGTGATTTTTTATATTTCTACCTATACGATTGCATTAAAGTGAACTTTCTGTTTGTATTTTATTATTTCTTAGCAATATACTTAATTTTAAATTTGTTTTGTTTGCTTTATCTTTTCTAGACTATTTTAAACTACATGATTTCATATCCTTATGATAATATTTTGAGATTTTAGTCTTAACTTTTTTTGACTTCGGAATTTATTTTAACTATTTTGGAAAGACACCAGGGAAAGATACCACTAGAGAGGCAGTATTTTCCTTACAGGTGCCTGGTGCTTCGTCTTTCTGTGAGTATAGTTGATGGGAAAGACTTAAGATGTGATGTTAACACAAACCTTATAAACAAGTTATTTTTATCAAGTATCAAAAATTTAGACGAATGTCATCAACCATACAATTTGAGATATTTTAAAATATCTTTTGAAATCTCCTTATATGACACTTGTGTGGATATATCCTCTAAATCTTGGAATGTAACTGTAGTAGTCTTAACTGGTTTGATGCTTTGGTACTGTACATAAATTTTTCTCCAAAATTATTTCTAAAAGAAGGGAGTCTCTTTGTTTTTTTTTGTTTTGTTTTGTTTTGTTTGATTTCATCCCAAATGTTTCAAAGCAATGTAACTCTCTAAGTTACTTATTTTAAATAATATTACTTTAGAGGAAAGGCACATATTCCTGAAATGACTTCAATCAATACCTCTTTTTGTATCCTTCTAGTCACATGTCAGAACCAGTAGTAAAGAAGGGCAAATATATTTAACACAGACATTATTTTTCCTAAGTATGTGATTAAACAGTGGCAAGTATTGGGTGCTATAAAAATACATTTTAAAGGATCACTTTAAAAATTACCACAGTAAGTTGAGATCATGAATAGCTTGTTGAAATATTTCTAGTGTCAATGACATATATAATTCAAAAAGTGCTTATTTGAAACAACTTAGGGAGAACTTAGGTAGACTATGTGCTCTGAAAACCCGTGTTATTCAGAGCAAAAAGAGTCCCTAAAGATGGGGTGGACATAATGGCATCAAGGATGGTTGAAAAGTGTTTGGATATAATTATTTTCAGAAATTTCAACTCCATCCTTAAAAGTTTAAAGTTGTCCCCCTAAATGCTTTTGTTTTCTTCTCATTAGGAAGACGAAAGATTGCCTTATATTTTGCTTTGTCTTCTTTTTGGATAGCTACCATATGTTATTTTCCCTCCCTATGTGCATTCATTATTGTATTGATCAGTCTCAGGATTTGATTACATAATCTTTTTCCCATTCCTTTCCCTGCATTTGGCTCCTAATTGGTTCCTAAAATCTGATGTGAGTTCAGCCAAGCTTTAAAGTTTACTGCATATCTCCCAACATTTGAGGGTAAATTCTTATTTAATTTACTTAGAATAGTTGCTATCTCTTTCTTTTGCATGAACTTTAAAAACTAATCATCTCTGGATATTTTTGTAAAAGCAAAGATTATGTGTGATTTTTTTTTTTCCTCCCAGAAAAGCAAAAAAGAAATAAGGTAGAAAGTAAAAGTGAAAATGGTTACTTACAAGTCCTTTTTATTCACTTACATGGGGAATGGGGTTGTTCATTGCTTTATTTTTTTAAATCTATGTATAATATGTTATCAGTACTTAGAGTTTTATACCTTAGAATCTCGTGAGTTTTCTTAGAAATTTCTGCAGTTTAAAAATATGCACATTTTTAAATGGCAATTTTTGAATTTCGTTTTTAGTGAATTTTTAAAAACAATGAAATGTTAATAATAATTAGGCACTGTATATAAACTATTTTATCTATCTTTTAAATTAGAAACGTCTAAAAGCAGCAGAAGCTGAGAGTAAACTGAAACAAGTGTATATCCCAACTTAGTAAGTAATGGAAATCTTTTAAAATATTCGTCATGGTATTCTTTCAAAACAAAAGATATCATTTTGGTCATTTTCAGCAAAATTTGAATTTCTTTATGTATCTTGTTTTCTTCCACTACAAAGCATGAGACTTGCTTCCCATTATACCTCTACAGTAATATTTTTAGAGAGAAAAATGGCTGGTGGGAGAAACCCCAAGTAGACTAACAAAAGGACTAGAGGAAGAATGCCATGTACTTTACCTCTGTAATAGCTTCAGAGAGAGTGGCAGGAAACTAACCTATGAAACTTACTCAAGGCAGATGTTTCAGAAAGCTAGCAGCTTATGAAATTTCTACGTTATAGAATGGATTTGTTTAGATAGTGCGCTTTGCCCTTTTGAGATATGTTGTTTATTTGGTTGATGATTTTACATTGTTTGCTTGAGGGAAGAGTTAGGGAAAGTAATAAGAATCATACTTTGCAAATGTTAAACAATGAATAGGTTTTGCTTGTTTCAGTCTAGCATTCTGTGATTGGTTATCCTTTGGATTTAGAAATCATTGTCACATCAAAACGAATGCCTGTTTCTTTTCATTTGCTGTGTTTTAAAATGAATTCCAATTTTTTTTGAGGTCTTTAGAGTTAGATTGTTCATTTGTTCAGGAAAATTTAGTTTATCGTGCACCATATATCTAGTGCTATCCTATGTTCTTTGGGGATTAAAATGAAATTTATTACAAAGTTATATGTACTCCAAGATTTTTCTCATTCTTTGAACTCAGTATAGTTGTTTTATACTTAGCCTTTGTTTACTGAATTTTAGTATGTTAAGACATTTTTATATATAGGAGCCCTCATAGATAATTAATTACAATATTTCTTATTAATCTTTCATTCTGAGGCAAATAACATGTAATTTACAGGGTCAGTAATTTTTATTCAGAGCTATAAAGCCCTTTCTACAAAGTCGTTTCTAATATTTTTGAAAATTATATATTTATTTGACTAATTTATAAAAGAACATCTCCCCAAAGAAAACACTATTGTGATTCTTGTGTCTCAGATTTTCAAAAGCAAGCATACCAACTTTCTTGTACTTTGCAATGCTGTCACATCAAAGGAAAAGTACATTTAAAAAATGTAAAAGCATATTTCACCATATTCATTTATTTATGTGTTGTCTATGTCTGCTATTGTGCTACAATTGCAAAGTTCAGTAGTTGCACCGGAATTATAATATCCACAAAGCTTAAAATATTTATTATGCCAAAAGCCTGATCTAGGTAAATGATTTTTGGAGCTCAAGATGGTTTCTAATCATACTTTTTAAAAAAAAAGTTGTATAAATCATTTACATAAATAGAATATATGAGCTGCATTATTGAGCTGGATGAGAATCTGAGTCCTTCGAAGCATTTCCCAGTTAAATCTGAAATAGAATATTTAAAAACAAATAATAGATTAAGAATTATTTCATACTGTCATTCTTTTGAGCCTAGCAGTACTGGAAGTAGAAAGGTTAAGAAGACAGGCTACATTCTAAGGTGGAGGAGACAGATGCCAAACAGCATGTTACTCGGTGTGACAAGTATTAAGATGGAGAATAGATTTTATGTGGCTGGTATGGTAGGCAAGGACCAGGAATGTATCTATCTGATGAAGAGTGGAAATGGATTTTAAATAAGGAAGTGTCATGATCAAATTTGTACTTTAAGATCACTGGCTATATTTTGGAGATGTTTTGGGGAAGGAGAGTAAGGGTGGGTGTAAGGAGACCAGTTATCAAGTTGTTGGAGAGGAAAGATGATATTTAGTTGACCTAGAGTTGTGGCCCTGGAAATGGTACGCTACTTGGAGGTGATTGATTGACTTGTATGACTTGTATGGAGGAGTGGAGGTCAGATGTCAAGGTTGAGTCCCAGGTTTCTGGCTAGCACAACCAGGTAGATTGCCATGCAATTCACCGAGCTAAGCACCTGTGTCAGTGAACCAGGTTAGGTTATTTTGAGTTTTCGGTCCACAAAGAAGTGTTGAATATACTTTGGATATATTGGTTGTAAACTTAGGGGAAAGTTCTGGGCTAGCTATACAAATCTGAACTTCAACAACATATAATATTGTGTTTGGAGGAGCAGTAAGAAATACGTACCTTGGACCAAGCTTGAGGAAATCCTATATCAGATAGAGTATGATAGCTATAAAAGGATAGCGAGGCGAGTACATTATCATCAAAGCTAAGAGAGAATGTGTTTCGAGGAGGGAAAGGGATTAAAACAGTGTCAGATGCTGGTGAAAAATAGCCCAGGAATTTAGCAGCGTGGAGGTCATCTTTAGTATAGTGGTAAGGACCGCATATTAGCCAAGGAGCTGCAGAGAGTGAAGATTTGCAGCCTAAAGAAGACTAGCTGGAAAGAGCAGTTGAGAGAGTTCTTGGTTTTGAGGGGTAGGTCATGATAAGGAAATGGGAGAGTTTTTCAAATAGGAGAAATAATGTTTACATAGTAATGAGGAGGGTCCAGAAAAGAGAATCAAGTGTACGAAGTTCTCAAGAGGGCAGGAGGAGTGGAATCTAGAGCACAAATGAGCAGCGGGGAAAGGTTTTTGGGTGTTAGATAAAAGAAAGGTGTTTCATATAATGTGGGTTTAAAAACTTTTTTATATGTTTGTCTTACAGTAAAAGTTTATTCAGATGGTCACATTGACAGTCATTTTTCCCTTGAGAATTAATTTGTAGGTATTTGGTTTTGCAAAACATTTTAAGTGATTCGCAAGTTTATATTCAGTCTTTGCACACTTATTTTCATTTTGTAATTATTACAATATTAAGGTCAGTTTATTCAATCAAACAACATTGTAGATTCACTTGAACAACTGAAGTTGTGTTTACTCTTATTCTTTTTTTCAGGCAGCTCAACTATGTAAATTTGCATTAGCTCTTTTTCAACACATGTATTTAACTCTGGGTTAAATGTCAGAAATTTTCATTTTTGGGGCCATCATTCTGACATTATATCAGTTATTTCACTTCAAAGGCCAGCATTTCTATGTACATGTAGGTTTTTAAAAATCAGAAATATTATTGTGTCTTTTGGAAATCTTAGGCATTCTAAATCACTGCTTTTCATTTTGTACCTTTTAAAATGAAGAGAAATATATTCTGGCTTAAAATGTGTTTTTAAAACCAGTTTGTCTTCAGAATACATTACTGGTACAAGTTAGAAATATAAATAGCTCTGTTTGTAGAATAGGGACCTTGGTGCACTCAGACTCAGAGGTTAAATGATTTCTTCTGTGGTGGTGGCGAGGTGTCACCTAAGAGTGAGAGTAACAATACCAGAAAGAAATCTTAATTTACTATCAGGCCAAGTTTACATGCTAGGTTTTTGCTGATAAATGGAACTGTAGGAATGAGAAATAGCAAAGAAGAAACTCCTGAGCCCACTCTGTGTGGAAACTCCCATGTCTTCACAGTTGTGACGTGACCTCTCATTAACCATGGGAAGTTAGAGTATCGCCTGTGTTTAGTCATTCAGCATTTATTTCTCACTAATAATTGGCTAATTTATTTTGCTTATTTTCTGTCTAGCAAAGAGACATGGAAGCTCCTTGAGTCAGGCACTTCTGTTTACTAGATACTGAACACATATATATTAAGTGAATTTTTAGATTATTGAGGACATACTATGTGTACCTGTGCAGTATTCTTGGGCATGGCATATAAGCAGGGCAGTTAACCTCCTCTAGATGGGAAAAGTTAGCCATGTTTGCTACAGTAAGTGTCTTGGTACACTAAGTACGAAGATAATCTGGGCTACATATTTATGAGGAATTAGGGCCTCTGGGAAATTTACACGTACAGTTCTGATAGATGTCACCTTTTTCTTCCTTCTTAAAATTTTTCTTGAAAACAAAAACTTCAAAATGCATTTATTGGTTTTTCTAATTTCAAATGCTTTGTAATCTTTCTCAAACTTCAAACATGTAACAGACATTATCATGAGCAGTCATAATCTCCTGAAATGCTAATTTACCTCTAGAGATATGCCCTGTTGACATTCAGTATCTGTGTTGAACATGTAGCTTTTGAACAGTCCCCTTGAGCGCCAACCTATAGAGTCAGCAAGAACAGGACAGTGGTTTTCTCAGACCACAACACAATGTCTTTAACTTAATTTACTTGATCCAAAAAAGTATTTTATTTTCTCAGGACGATTTGTGATATCTGATAAAACTTAATAACTTGTATCTTTCAAATGCATCAGAGAGTGTCTTAAGGGAATTGTATTTGGGTGGAGAACAGAGATGGCTGTATTTATTTTGTGAGTGTCAGGCATAAGAGATTCGTTTTTACATGTCCTTGTTTTATAAAGATGAATGGTTTGGCTTCATTTGTGCCAGTTTATTTCTTCACCAGATATTCAGACATTTATTTATGTGTGGTTAAGATAAGTCAGTAATGCAATGTAGAGCCTTTTGCCTTGTTGTACAAGCCATTTTTATACCTCACTTTACATTTCATTGAAAGCAGCAAACCAAATCCTAACCAAATATCCACCAGCAATGGCAAACCTGGTGCTGTGAATGGAGCCGTGGGGACCACATTCCAGCCACAGAATCCCCTCTTAGGGAGAGCCTGTGAAAGCTGCTATGGTAAGTTTTTTCCAACAGGGCTCTATTTTCCCCTTTAAGCCCTGTTTTCAGTGAAGTGCAGGTAACTCTGCTGGCACCGTGGCGGGAGGTGCTGAGCTGCTTTCTCAAGGTACATGAGGTCAGTACTTCGCGGAGGGCAGATAATGTAGCCTCTGAATGAGTAGATGCCCATCCTTACCTTGCACCTGCACACTCAATTTGGGTATTGGCTTTCCTTTGATATGCTTCCATGGGGTCCTGTGTCATGGGGTCAGCTAAGCTGCCTTCAGAGTTGTAATAGTAGCTTTGTGCAAACTGTGGTCCCATGAAATATACCAGATCCCCTTTTGGAGTTTCTCAGTATGCTTTGACAGATTAAAGGCTCCAAATGATTCTTTAGGGAAGACCTGTGTGTGGATAAACTGCTAGTTACAGTCTTCAAAGCAGGTTTCCTCAGAGTACTGGTTTGGGAGACGCTGTTCTATGGTACTTGGTTTGGGGTTCAGAGTCTCAGTGTATTTAAGCCATGTCAAAAACCAACCAGAGGCTGGCAGTATCATATTATATATATTGGGTTACTGAGATGAACTGTTACATAGTTGATATACTTTTTATGTTTATTTAAAATCTCAAACAATGGTATAATCTTTTAATGGAGTGTTGGTGACATTATCATCTAAGTTTCCTTCAAACCTAAGTGGCCTGGGATAAGAGAGGGAAGAAAACTAATGCTTATTAAAAGTCTATTTGGTGTCCAGTTTTTGTCTCTCAGCAGCTCTTTGGGGGTAGACGGAGCCTGCTGCCCTAAGTACAGAGGAACGAGAGACATTTGTGACTGTGCTCCACACTCCACACTAGGTTTCAGCATTAGAAAAGGCTTTTAAAACCAAGTCATATAATTATGTCTCCTGAAACTAAGGAAGGTGTGAGCCAGACAAATTGCTGACTTCATAGAAGTGGTATATGTCTAACCATTTTCTTCACCATGGGCTCACAGGGGGAAACAGTTTGTGAAAATTAGACTCTTTTAATCAAGACTTTACATGGATTGCATCATAAAATGTTTTTGAACTGGGAAGTCTTAGATTTTGTAGTTCATATATATACTTAAATGAAAAAAGAATCTCGCAGACAAATGATAGTGGCTTAATCTCTCTTTTTTTTGATTTACAGACCCCTTTCACCATGATATATTTTCACATATCTCTTTAAATAATTATTCTGCAATTTTTATGTGTATGACAAATAAGCAATTTTAATTTTATAATATTTCTTTTAGACCCATATTTTCAAATAATCGATCATAAAATTTTTTACTATAATATATATGTAAGACTTATCATTATAGAAAGAAGTTGGTATTTTCCATTTTATCAGCTTTTTAATTGAATATGAGTTAATCATGTATGGTGAAAGACATTTGTTGACAAATATTAAATTACGTTTCATTAAAACGTATATTTAAATATGAGTAAAATTTTATTTTCAGGATCCGAAATAAGTCCATGCCTAATATATAGGATTCTTATAATTTGTGTTTTTAGAAAAACCAACTTATTTTATTATTTGTTTTTAAATTTTAAGAGAGAAGGTTTTTAGGCTGGTACTTGTAAGGAGTTTTCCAAAAATAACACATGATGAGTGCACAGTATTGGTCTCAATAAACTAAAAGGCAATTTGATTATTATGATCACTATATTTTCTTTTTTTGACATTAGTTTGTGAAGTATTAGTTGACACCTTGCTGTGCTGTTTGAACATTTTGATTTGAGGAAGAATATTCCAAGGCAAACTTAAAGAGTTATAATAATTTTTATGCACCTCATTAACTTAATGTTTTAGTGTCAGTGTTTTCAAACTTCAAAAGGGGGATTCTTTCAATGTTATATGATAGTAATTCAAACTGCAGAACAAAACACAAGTTTGCCATGTTTAGCTACATGATAAATCAATCAAGTTACTAGTTCTTAAGCATACTGTGATCTTGGCTACGTATGCTCACTTGAATGTGGACTTGTAGTCTTGAAAGGAATTCTCTTTTTTAAAGGGAGAAATTTAAAATAATTATTTTGTCTATCGATTAAATTAAAGGAATGGAAAAGAGATACCTATTTCAGTCACATTCCTGCCTCTATCATTGGGGCCCCTCTGAGCACCTTAAACTCTGGGTGGTTTGTGAACCATAAGTTTGGAAATCTGGATTTAGACTTTAAACACTAATAATAATAATACCTTTCTGATAACTTATTTCCAGAAATGTACACAAGAGAAAACATTTTTAATTAACAAACAAAAACTTTCTCAGCAGCACAACATGTAATATAGGCTACTTTATTTATCTAATAGCCTCTCTAAATAGGTGCCACGTGCAATTTGATATATATAGAAATAAATGTTTTTTAATGAAATTTGAATCTTAAAAAATATGGGTATATTAGATTCATATTTGCTCGTAAGCTGGGGAAAGAAAAATAACATCGTAAACTGAAAGTGGCTTCGGAATATTTTTGAAGTATTTGAATGTATGAGTATTAATGTTATAAATTACATAGCATTCTTTGTTTTCTTCCTTCATCTTTAGCTACACAGTCTCATCAGTGGTATTCTTGGGGCCCACCTAATATGCAGTGTAGATTATGTGCAACCTGTTGGCTCTATTGGAAAAAATACGGAGGCCTGAAAATGCCCACCCAGTCAGAAGAAGAGAAGTTATCTCCCAGCCCAGCTGCAGAGGTACCTGAGCAGTAGTCCTTTTAGCGTTGAGAAATGTCATGTTTTTCAATGGCTGGATCGGTCCTTGAAAACAGAAGTACAGTGTTGGATAATTTAAAAGCAAACAAAGATATTTTTATAGCTAAACAGCACCACAGTATTCAGGGTGGGAGTGAAGAGAGGGGCAGGGACAAATCAAATCTTTTCAGGTATTCAAAATATTTGTCTTGTAAGATTACTGAGACAAAAGAACAATACGTGTGTGGGAGGCATTAGCATAAGTAGAAAGCTTACAAATTAAATGTTTGTTTTAATTGTTTTTTTGAAAACAGTCTGCAGCCTTTAGATACTATTGAAAATGAGTCTTAAATACAAATTGAACCTTTTTTTTTTTCTACCCCTGGGCTATCATAGGAGGGAGAAGAAGATATGGACTTAATCTTGAGGTGAACAGTAGTTGAAATAGGAATGTGGTAAATATTCTCTTAGATTGTAGATACGGACCACCTAGGCCTGCCAGAGAGAGACTGTTCATTTTGGGTGCTAATAAAATCTCAGGAGTCTTTCAATGCTAATCATCATCATCATCATTATCATCTAATTAACCCCTGGGCGCTATTTTACTATTGTGAATGTGATTCAGAATAGTTAAGGTCAATTTAAACACAAAAGTGTAGGATCACACCCTCTTCTCCCAACCCAGTTTTCTTCTCTACTCCCCACCTTCCCCAAAGTATGCACTTTTAAATTGTCTTCCTTTGGGGTAGGGTATTAAGTTATAGATGCTTTAGTGGAAGATTTTAAACATTGCACTTTTCCTTGAGCATGATACGTCGTACTGCACTTTGACCAGTTTTGTTTCTTCACGTGTTTGTTGGTATCTGATTCTGCAGGACCCCCGTGTTAGAAGCCACATGTCTCGCCAGGCCATGCAGGGGATGCCGGTCCGAAACACTGGGAGCCCAAAGTCTGCAGTGAAGACGCGTCAAGCTTTCTTCCTTCACACTACATATTTCACAAAATTTGCTCGTCAGGTCTGCAAAAATACCCTCCGGCTGCGGCAGGCAGCAAGACGGCCGTTTGTTCCTATTAATTATGCTGCCATTAGGGCAGAATGTAAGATGCTTTTAAATTCTTAACCTTACGTGTTGTGCTTTTGACCATTTTTTCTTTCCCTCTCTCTTTTTTGTTTTGTTTTGGTTTTGTTTGCAATAAACATAAGTTCTTGTGTACAGCCTTTTATTTGGTTTATTTTTTTAACATTGTTTTTGTCTGCTGCCATTTGTATCATGCCAGCCTGCAAAGAAAACATTGAAGCCTCTGCAGTCTTTATGAGAGAGTAGTGCTCGGCAAAAGATTGGTGGGAGGTGATTCTGTCCAGAGTTTCGTGATGGAATATATGAAGCCCTTATTGAGGCACTTTGACCTGTAAGGGGTGCCACAATAAATCTCCAAGGGTGGGGTTACAGTGAAACTCCATAACTGAGACACACAGTCCAGTCTTAACATGGATTCATTATGTTTGAATAAAATTTGCCAGTTTACACTAATTAAATATTGTCTTTGTAAACCTCTCATTTCCCCATGAACCTTTTATAATTATCATATGATATTGTGGAAATTCACAGTGCTTCACAACAAATTTTAAATTAATTTTAAAGTCTTGGGTGAATTTTCTGAAAATATACATTTAGTTTTCACAAGCTAGTGTCCGAACTTGTGTTTCAGCCTTCTTCCTGTTTGTCCAATTTGGTTTCCATTTCATAATTATATTTATATATTACCATATAACATTTACATGACTTTATTACTCTCATTTTCAATGCATTCAGCCTTGCTTGTGTTTCAATTTTTTGTTAGAACAAAGGTCATATGTACCAGTGAATTGTGGATTGTTCTGTTATTACCGTGTACCCCTGAACGTGTTTATAATTTGTGTGTTAGCTCTCATTTTAGTCTTGCTACTTTCAGTCACATTGTTGACTAGCATGTTATAGCTATGCAACTTTTTTCCCCTAAAAGATGAGAAATTTCGCTGTCTGGCTTAACAGATAAGAAATCTTAAAGATATTCAGTCTTTGCTTTTCTTTATCTGTAAGATAAGAAAATTCTTATGATGAGATATTCCATTTTGATTTAAAGAGGGTATTCATAAAAGGAGTACTGGTTCAAAAACATTTCGTTCCTAAAGATAATTTTCAGCAGAACAATCCAAGGCTTTAAAACTTACAGGTAAAAGCTTTATAAGAAGAAGAAAAGTACTTTGTAAAGGGAGTGGAAATTGGTAGTAATCTCTGAGTTCCATGGAGAGAAAATTTAGCTACATTAGACTCGTATGTTTGAGAATTTAGGTTTACGTTGAGGTTTTGTACCAGCATTTCTGAGTTCATGGGTTTATGCTATTATCACTTTTTAAATCCATCTTAAAGAATTGGAAATATATTCCTCTAAACTACTTAGCTGATTTAAAACATACTTTTATATATAATTTCTTGCTTAGCTGATTTAAAACATTCTTTTATATATAATTTCTTAAATAAAAAAGAATAATAAAATATTTGAGAAAGAAGATGAATGAAATTCTTCCATTAAAATTGGGATCCAGTATCATCTTTGTTCCTACGAATGGAAAAGCAACCATTACCAACTAAATTGGCTTCTGAGGAAGCTTTTGTTTCTCATGGCTCTTCTATTTTTTAGTGAATTTGCAAATTGTCTTTATTTTTATTATTCTTCAATGAAGTATAATTTTCTGTTTTCTCATATAATTTTTTCCTCTCAACTGAAAGGCCATGCTGCTTTAAAAAAGGGAGGGGGTAAAGATTAAATTACCTGTATTTTATTTCTACAAACATATAGCTAGCTATAGTAATGATATTAGTAATAACATATTTTGTATTTAGCTTTATTGGCTGAGTTACATATAGAACTAGATTCTCAGAATAATTAATTTCACCTTGAAATTTAAAATTATTGTTTCAGCAACATCTACTCAGTTATTTTTTTTAGACACCAACTAATGAATGCTTCCTAGCATCTGATTGATTCTTAATGTCATCTTTCTTATATGTACCTTACTACAACCGCTTCAGCAGGTCCCGTGATCCTGGCTTGTTATGCAGGAGATTAGGCATTAATAGCCTGGTGTACTTAAGCAACCATGTCTCTGGACCAGTAGGAGTATTTAAGTGTGTTTTATTTTCGTAAGCTTTTCTTGGTTTCTCAAAGGCACTGGTGACCCCGCCCTTCACCCAAAAGTCAAGAATCACTGTCATTCAGTATGAATGTACTTTCAGATAAAAGTTTGTAGTTCTAAAGATGTTGATAGATCAAGAGCTCTAATTAACGCATTTTAGAGTAATACATCATAATATTGGGACCTTTCCCTGTGAACTTGAACCTCTTTCTCTTATAAGCACTATAAAAGTTGACCCTCTTCAGTAGCACCATCACAAGCAGTGTCATTCTCAGAGCTTATAGAGTGACAGACTGCATAAGAGTGAAGAGGTAGGGAGCTAAGGAGAAAAATTTCTCAGATGCGGGAGAGCATACTCATAACCGAGTTCCTAACTTGAAAGTTAATCCTTGTTTCAGAAGAAATTTATTTTTGTTTGGTTGCGGCAGCACTCTGTCCTTTATTTTCATTAAGGAACCAATATTAAGGACTACAGTATAGTAACAAGGAATCTTTGCATATGTGTAAAGAAGTGATAGCATCTAGGAAGGGAAATTGGGAGGCTGGGGGAAAGAGGATTCGGAAGGAGACAATACTGTACATCCTTTTAGACTTTCAATCTTGAACCATGGGAATATATTTTCTATTTTTAAGTATTCTAAGCTATAGCCCTCTCTGGTGTAGCCTGTTCCTTGAAATGTACTTCAATAAATCTTACTTTTTCTAATCTTGAAAATAAATAAAAATTTAAAAATAGTCTAAACACTGGTAAAAGTATATAGTATGACCAACATGTTTAAAAATGTGTGTGTGTGAAATATATATGAAATGATTTTTTAAAACCAATTTCCCCAAATATCTATTCATTTTAATTAACTTACCTCTATGTGTGAATATGTAAGTCCATGCCAAAATTTACTAACAGTAGAATGCCTGAGTCCATTCTACTACATAGATAGTGCTTATTAAAAATGCATTTGGTAGACCAAAAACCAAACATTGCATAAAGAAAAGTACTGTATCCTCAACAAGATTTGCAGACCGACAGCATGACTATAACACAGCATTAAGTTTCAGACAGCCTGTCTCTTCTTCCCCTTGATACCTATCTCTTAGGTAAAAAAAAGCCTAGGTGTGATAATGGTGTTTTTCCTTTGTTATTGCCATCAGACATTACCTCTGAGTTACCAGATGACTTTGCCAAAGATCTATAAAATCATTCAACACCTGATGAGCACAAAGTTACTATTTAAAATTCAAGATCCTCAAAGACTGAGATAGAAGGAGATGTATTAGCAGTATTCTATAGATGAAGCTAGGTCTTAGAGAAGTGGATCCAAATGATTTACCTGCCACCTTTGTAGCTTGTATTGGTCAGTAAGTGGTTTCTGAGTTGATAACACACCAGACTTGAATGACAGCATCATTCCCCAGTTCAAGAGGTATCCGGAGCCATTGTTTTTCTGTTTGAAGTATCCCAAAGCCGAATATTCGTAAGGAACGTTATATATTTAATGAGTCTAGAGATTTCTCAGCAAAAGTTCTATTAATGATTGTATAAACTTGTGAGGTTTTAAGCTCTAACATTAGGAAAGAACAGTTTGGGTTTTTATTTTGTGAATTTTGATAGTTTAAAAATTTGTTTTTGAGTGGATACTTTAAATTTTTCTAAAGATACAGAAGTGGTTACAAATCTCATTGTCATTCCCATTCCTACCCTCTTCAGAGGTATCCAGATGTATTCTGGATTACTTTTTGAAATTAGGTTAACTTAAATTTTTAGAAATTGTTATTTAAAAGTTAACAAGAAGTTTTAGGTTATTTCCAATTTCCTACTGAAAGTAATGCTGCAACAAATATTCTTATATGGATATCATTTCATACTGATACGTGAAATGCGAATGTACTTTAGAGATTCGTAAAAATAAAAGATCTGGGTCACGGAACATGCATTCTGAATTTTGTTAGTTGCTGCCCAGTCGCGCTCAGAAAACTACAGTTTACACTCCCACCCACAATGTGTAGAAAATGCCTGTTTCTCCAGGATCTTGCCAGCAGAGTTATCCATCTTTGAAATACTTAACTAGATAACAAGTGACATGTAAGTTACATTAGCTTGCATTTCTCATTTTAAATGAGACAAAAGTCTTTGCATATATTTGAAAACCATATCTATTTCTTTTTCTGTCAACTGTTTTTGCCCCCAGCCTGTTTTCTATTAGGTAAAAGTCTTGTCAACTTCTGGGAACTTTTTATATTTTAAGGAAGTTAGCTCTTGATCTTAGATATGTGTTGCGAATATTTCCTCATTTGTCTTTCACTTTGTTTATTTTTTAAAAAACATAGTTGAATTTATCTTTTTTTTTTAATGGCACCTGGATTTTATGTCTTGTTTAGAAATGCCTCTACAATTCCTAAAAGAAAATTCTGTAGATGGTTTTATTTTGACAGCAATCTTGAAATCCCATGTGAGATGTTTTTGTGAATTTTAATTCAGTGGTATCTTTTGCAGTTTTTCTATTTCATTTTCTCTCAATATTTCCAAAACAGTTTGGAAGAATGACCATGAGTTTCAATAAAAGTAACTTTTCCCAGTTTTACCTCAAGGAGATGTAGGTCATCTTCTCAGAAGCCAAAGTAATATTAGTGCCTTGTGTTCGGTCAGATAATTTGAGTGAGATGTAGTTGTTCTCCCTCTGGGCAGATTTCGATTCCTTCTGGGTTCTTGGATATTCCTCGGGTTGCTTGTTTTTTTTTTTATCTGTGTACTTTTAATGCATACTAGTAAATTATCTCTGTTTCAATTGTTAGATGAGTAATTGGGGAGCCAGACTGAGAATAAGTGTCACCACTGGCCTGGTCTTGAGTGCAGTCCAAGCTTCTTTTTAATCAAGTCAAGTGTGGACCTGATAATCTTATGTTTATGATCATTCCTTCAGGGGAGAATGTATTTTTCCTATTTGTATTCAGTATATATCACTGAATGGCTGCAATGTTTATATTAAACAGAGACTAGATAGTGTTAGCACCTTTTGTCCCAATTTCTTCATAGTTGAGATTGATAATCCTTGCCACTTACTACTTTTTAAAAAATATAATGAAGATTAGTGGAATATGGATCCTTCTAAAGAGCTTTGGTCTCCCACTCAGGTGCTCTGTAAATTGTCACTTGGCACATCACATAATCTAACTAATGAGAAATTAAAAGCTGATTAGTACAGTTTAAAGTGAAATATCTTTGGGTATTGTGTTGGTGACTTTCGATGGATTTGTTTATTCCTGTCAAGGTGATGAATATATGGGAGTCCATCAATTGCAGCACATTGGCAGTTTTTCTTTGGTCTTTATAGACTGGAATAAACAGCAAAGTTAATCTTATTACTAATAATACAGCAATTGCCTCTTCAAAACATTGAGAAAATAAGATGATTCAGTCAAGCTTAATTTTACTAATAGAAAAGAGAAAGTTTTGTCCTCATCCCAAATAGAACTTGAATTTTAGGTGAATTAATAATATTAGGAAGGAATTATTTAGCTTTAACTCACAGTCATTTGACAGGTGTTTGATCCTTGAAGGATTTGAGCTGCTTTTTAATGTTTCTTTAGATTACTCTTCCAAAATATGCTTATTATTTTTTCACCTGTATCTTCTTTATTACTCAACAATAGGTGAAAATCTTCACAGCTTATTAATTTTTTCCCCTCAAAGGAAACCAGTTGAATAGGAGGAAAAGAAATAAGAGTCATTATAGTTGTCAGTGGTTGCATGATAATTAGCCAATGTTTGGGATACATGTTCAGATTCCTATTATTTGAGGATCTTTTCAAGGGCATATGCTTTGTCTTTTTAAAAATTTTTAAAATGCTATTTTCCCACTTTTCTGTTTAATAGTTCTAAGAAAAGGGCTTGGTGAAAGAGGGCTAGAGCTTATGAAACAGTTAATTTTCAATTTTACATTATTTGAGGTTCCAGATCGAATTGTGCGTTTGAACACACTCATAATGCAGAGAATTCCTGTGAATGTCAAAGGAAATTTCCTGTATATATGCCCAAAAATATGGTCTCAGCCTGTGAAAGGACAAATTCTCTAGTAGAATCAGAAAACCTGTAGGACATTTATGTCCGACATTTGAAGGTGGGGAAAAGGCATAAACATACTAGACCCATATCTGCTGAAACTACTCTGTTAAGCTTTATGACAATATCTGCAAATTAAAGGAACTTCAATACACATTTTTTGTCCCTTCAAAGTTTTTATAACAACTCTGGTATGAGAGGTGGCCATGTTCCACATCTTTTCTTCTAATGACAGCTAATTGAAATGCAGGGAGTGTGCTTATGCTTTATTTTTCTATGTCTGAAATGTCATGGTAGGCTATCAGGGGTGCGATGTGAACTTTTATGAACTAACATCCCTCTTCACAATATCTTGCCAGTTCTGACTATTGGATGAAATACTCTGCATACAGGTGACCTTTTAAATCTCAGCACCAATGACATCATAGTAAGATATGAAGGATAAAAACCCAGTGATAAAGCCAAATGGCCCATTTTTACCCTTGTGAGGCTCTCATCTAATGGAATTTAGTTTTCCAAGCTAGACAAAGACTTCTCAGTGGAGAACCACTCCATCTAGGTCGGGGATGGCTAAGTGGGTTATCTTTATCAGCTGTCTTTTTTGTCTTCCATGCCAGATTAATCTTACTAATATAGGATTGAGTCTACTTTGTAGTTCATGGAAACTTTTTTACTTTAATGTAGAAAGGCCACGGCTAGGAAGGAAGCATATTTCCATTGCTTTGCAGATGGACACCCACAAAATATGTGTGTAAGATGTGTGTTAGCAACGCTCATGGGGTTTTAAAGTGAGTGTTCTCCAGGTAAATTTTTCATTCAGTAATTTGGAACCAGAACTGGAAATGGTTTTCTCAAACCCAAAAGGAAATTATGCAGGGATCTGGTGGGTATTTTGCACTGTTTTCCACTTGTATCTGTTGTTTCTGCGGTGTGTGTAGTATAGGGAGAGAAATTAGCCTCATTGGTTGTCTCCGTGTTTCTTTCTCTCCTCAGATGCAGACAGACATGCCGAACTATCTGGAAGTCCACTGAAAAGCAAAAGCACTAGGAAACCTTTGGCATGCATCATTGGGTATTTAGGTGCGTATTTGCTGATAGAGGACAAACTCAAAGAACAATTTCTGTATCTTATAAATAGTTGGCTATTCTAAATTGACATGCCTCAACTAAATTCAAGCCTTTCAAATAGCTGAGATTGGATACTTTCATATGCATAATCAATTTCTTCTGTTTTAGAAACTTCTACTACCAAAATACAAGACACACCAGTTATGATGTGTTTACTTTTTCCAAAAAAAGTTATTGAATAAAAATGCAATGTATGTTTATGGATATATATACAGATTAAGCAAAAAGAGGAAAATAAGAATCAATAAATTATTAGAGGATGAATGGTCTTAATATTTTGATTTAGATCCTTCCACTATTTCCAACTCTTAGAGGATTGGTTTATTTTTTTTTTTAAATACAATAAAATTGATTTTTAACCTACCTTTAAAAATATTTAGTTTTGATGTGCCAATTAAGGTTACGTTGAAAGGCGAGCATTTTTATTGCTTTCTGAAAGTTGCCAAATGATGGTTCCATTTACATGTTGAAATATCACAGTTAAGGTATAGTATAAACAATTACTAGGCAATAACCTCTTTTCCTTTTTTCTTTTTTTGCAAAGTTTTAAGAGAAATAATTTATAAAATAATGGTTCCTAATATACCTAAAAGCTATAATGGCATGTTTTTGTGCTAATATTCTTACTTTTTTATTTTCTCGGTAAAAATGAAATATGTACTTAGAATTGCATTGAACTTTATTGCTGTCAGAATTTATAGTTATGAAGTGTTCAAACTTCAGACATCCAATCTTTTAAAAATCAAAGTGTAGCCTTGAGCTTGGTATATTATCTGGACCTCATCAGAGCCTGCTAGGAGTCAGAAGCTCACAGCTGCCTCTTTGATATTATTCTGCCACCTTATTTCTTATTTTATTCTTCAGAGGCTAAAGGGTTGCTTTAATAGCCCCTGAAAATATCACATGGTTATCATAGGTATGACTTAGGTCATGGTGGTTAAGTCCTTGAAGTTTGTTGTCTGTCTTCCCTTGCAGGACCTAATCCTAGAAGCCCCTTCTCACCTGTAAGGGAAAGTTTCTGATCATAAAAAAGAGAATATGACATTGCATATTAGCATTTCCACAGGTAATTGTGTATTCCCCTGTGGGGAAATTGTTCTCTGTCCCTAGTCAGATAAGCCAAAGATGAATAAGGTAATGCCAAGACAAATAAGGCCTTGTCCTCAAAAACCTTAGGCTACTGGGGAAGCACACAGGTCAGGACAGCTAAACAGAGGATTGGATCGTATAAAAGAATTACAGGTAATGTGCATTGGGCACTTGGGGGAAGGAGTAGTTATTTCTGATGAGTGTTAGGGCAGCCTAACACTGAAGAAAGTAATATTTGATCTCAGCCTTGAAAGATATGTAGGATTTGAACAGATAGAAAAAAAGTAAAGAATATTTTTCCCCTTATGAGGCCAAGAAATCCAGATAAACAAAGCCTTCAATGAGTCAAGGACCTGAAAATGTCAAGGAATGCAGGTTGGCTGGTCTGATTGGAGCACAGAGTGTAGAGGTTGTAATGAAAAATGAGGTTGGCAGATGGCTAATGCTATGTTAAAAAAAAAAATCACTTGATCCATTCCTAAATTTTGGCAAGTGTAGGATTTTGACCAGAACAAGATGTAGTAATTCTAATAATCCTAATGGCTCTTCCTAAATTTCAGTAAATGAGGCTGATATGCTGGCCCTCACCTGATATCCTGGCTTGTGCATAGTTGGCACACTGGGGTTTGAGTGAGCAGGTTTAGCTTTGGAGAAGAGATTGCCCAGTAATAGACTGAGGTCCTTAAATGTAATTCCCGCAGTATGGCAATTTCTGTCCATCGACTCTGTCCAGAAAGTACAAGCAATTCTGGGCTATGCAGCTAACAACAACATACTTCATGCAAACACGCATATGCCACATACACATTATGGTTTTGTGATTTACCCTCAGTTGAAGCTTTTTATCTACTGCCTCTTGACCCTAGTTTTGGTTTGGTGTCAGATTTCATCTACATCGAAATGATCTGGGCCAGGAGTGATCTACTCTGGTCCTATACCCTGGTCACAGAGCCAGAGGAGGATCCTGTTTTTCAGAAAGCTCTTCCACAGCAGACATGCTGCATGCTAAGTTCTGGTTTGATAGAACACAGAGGCAGTTTTCTCTGAGGCTACCTTTCCAGATAACTTTTGAATTTCGAATACCTTGAAAGTCAGATGCCTTATTTTTACTTAGTAAATCTCGTGTTAAGTGATCTTCTATAGTGTTTTTTTTCTTCTTCTTCTTGTACTCACAACATGAAGCTCAGACCCCAGCTAGCAGGGAAGAACCAGCTCACTTTTGATAAGTAAAGCAGCCATGGTAACAGCACTTGAAGCTGATTAATTATGCAAGTCCTTGAGAAAACAGGCTGGCTCATAAGGAACTGACTCTCAGCTCATTAAGAAATAAGATGTGTGTCTATTAGCCGGTGAAGTTCATGCAGAGATTTTTAATGCCGTGTTCTGAGCTGAGAAACCTTTTTTCCCCCTGTCAGAGATCCATCCTTCGAAGAAACCTAATGTAATTCGATCTACACCAAGCCTGCAAACCCCAAGTACCAAGAGGATGCTAACCACCCCGAACCACACATCCCTGAGCATTTTGGGGAAAAGAAACTACAGTCATCACAATGGCCTAGATGGTATGTAAGCCCAGGAATTCCAGGGGCTCTCTTGATAGACCAGAGCCCCTCTTCCCTCACCTGCCAGGGCATCATATGCCAAGTCCAAGAATGTATAACAAACAGGTTCTTCCACTCCCCGATTGAACTAAATGTGTGGTAAGGGAGATAAGAAGGAAGACAGCCATGAGCCACAGTGAAGACATGTGCTAGGTGATATTGCTCCATCTCTTCAGGAGGCACCTTTTTTGCTCACTTTTCCTCTTAGGAGGCTTGTTTGGAGATGAAGTCTGTAGCAGGTTGCCTCTGCTGGGTAATAATGTTCTTGCTGTGATGCATACTCACTGCTCATTTATGTTTTCCTGAGCAGAAGGGATTATTTCGCCTTCTGTCAGAGACAGCAGTGCTCTCTGGGGGTTCTTCAGCACTCCGTGGATCATTTTGAATTTGGCATTTGTCCCCTACTTCTTTCACCTTATAATTTTTTTAATTGTTCAGGGGTTCCACAAGTCATGAAAGGAATTGCCTGGGTGATGTCCTAAATACAGAAATAATAATTTGTTTGAAATGGAAAAACAGAACTATCGCCTCTTATCCAAAGTACTTCTCTTGGGATTGGCCATATATAATGGCTCTTCAGGTGGAACTGAATTATATTTCCATTTAGACTATAAACACAAGCATAATAAATCACCTAGGCAGTATATATTGTTCATTTCAATAGTCCTGGAGTTTGAAACTATCTTGATTGTTTAAATGTTGGCATTTATTTATGAATAAAACTCTCTCTAGGCTTTTCATGTCTATAGAAATCGAAATTTCTTCAGCAATAGTAAATTATTTATAATGAGGCCTTTGAGCAAGGATGTAAAATAGACTTTCTAGTAATAATTTCCTGTGGTTGCGGTTTTTTCCCAGTATAAATTTTGATGGCCATAGTGATGTCGAAATGAATTAAAAAATGAGGGTAAGGAGTTTGTTTTGCATTTATAGACTATCAATATGGTGTAGACATGGCTTTCAAGAATTTAGCTACACAGTAGGTTTGCAGACATTACTTCCTTGCAAATGAGAACTTTGGCTATCTTTGCTACAATATGCCTGATGTCTAGTCAGCAGAAGACCAAGGAAGGGTTGTGTCAAAACATGGAGATTGGATTTCTTTCCAGCTTTTCTTTGCCCACAGCCTGGGGCCTCTGGATTCAGGCTTAAATGGAATCATGAATCTTTCTTTTCCATCTCATCACCTCCCTGGCCTCTCTAGGTTTATAGTCCTACTGCAGAAAGCAAAAAGTAAGTTCTGGCTCATTTAAGATATATATTCTTTATGGTAAAAAAGACTTTTCTAACTGATGTCGGAATAGCAGCTTTCAAGTATCTTTTCCCACTGGCACCCATGGCCATGGCCATTCTGGGTCCCAATTCTGCATAGCAACTCCTGTTGCTCCTTCCTGGAATCACAGATACCTGTCTCATTAGAATTTCTTTGGGGAAAAAAAAAAATGCTACCTGGTAGTGTTCTCTCTAGGGCTGTTTGTCCCTTTTCTTTCTAAACGGATCCTGCTACAAGGTCATTGCTTCTTTGCCCTGATCAGGAGGAATGGACAGGGCATACAGTGAATCCCTGGCATTATGTTAACTGAGACCTTCAGCCTTGTTGAGGAAAAGATACTCGTTTCATTTGCTGAAGAGATCTAGCTGTTGAAACACTTTTCTTCAAGACCCATATTTGTCTGTGCTCTCCTGTTACGATATAGAGAGGAAAGCTGATGACATGTGCCTTACCCATGTTATCTATTTGAGTCACATGAAAGAAGGTTCTAGGAGGTCAAGAAATTTATATGTTTTGCATAATATTGTATCTCTACTGCCTAGCACAGTGCCTGGATCTTAGCAGATGCTCAATAAATGTTAATCGAATAAATTAGTGATTGAGAAGAATTAAACCTAGAGAGAGGTGAATTAATATTTCTGAAGTTATCAGGTACCACATAAATGGATATGGATTCCCACTGAGATGTGACTGATTTCAGAGTCTGCTCTTTTAACTGCTATTGTAACCGAATTGGTGGCTCTCAACTGCACTGTATTAGATGGGCAAAGTAGACACTAAAGGAGACATTATTTTAACAGCTAATAAAGGAAATCAATATGACAGATATTGGAGGTCAGAACAGGTAAATGGGGAATATGGGGGTAGTGGAGGTGGCATAGAAAGCAGCCACCATCTCTAGGGTTGGGAGAGCAGAAGGAAGAGATTGGGGTCCTCACAAGCTAGAAGTTCAAGAATAGCCCTAAGGAGCTGGAACTAGGATCCCTGAGGAGAAGGCGCTGTTCTGTTGGTGCTGGCCTCTCTCAGGAGATGTGAGGAGGCTGGTTCTGGGAGTGTAAAGTAAAGCTGAGAACTGGAACAAACTCTTGCTGCCATTTGGTCATGCAGAACAGGAAGAAGCAAGTCCCTTCTCCATCCTCCAGCCTTCAGGCACCCTCTAGCAGCCCCTGTTGATGTAACAGGGAGCCTGATAGCTAAAGAGAAATGTGTTTTTTGAATTCCAGCCCCAATATTATAAAGCTGAGCTTGGATGGACGGATGTGGAGCTGAGAGAGAGGAGTATAGCAGAAATAAACATTTTGGAAAATGTCCTCATTTTTGTATTCACAGTGGACATTTTGCTTGGGATAATAGGTCCGTTTCTTATTTGGGGGGCGGGCAGATGGGGGTATGTAGGATCCTGACTAACCTGAATTTCCAAGGTGAACTCAAAATACCAGGAAAAATGTCAGGCTAATAGTGAGTTTTCATGGGATAAATGCTATCATATACTGGAATTGATAGATACAAACTCATGGGAGAAAGACTTTCCTCGTGTTATTCAATAATAAAATCAATTAACGTTACCACGTAATTATCAGTATGTCAGATAGATGGGCACACTAAACAGCATGTTGATGGCCAGAACTAATTTAACTGGGGGGAAAAAGAAAAACTGAAATATGCAGGTCTCTCAGCTTCAGGGCTTCCTGTCCCCTTCTCAGTGGCTTGCTGTTTTCACTCACCCTTTATCTTCTTCAGGTGGAAGTTCTTGACGATGAGAAGAGTGTCCGGATTTCTGCCCACAGAAAGGATTTTCCCTGACATTTTAAAAAAATGGTGGACAGCTTCTTATTGTCTTTCTGAAAGTCACTGTCTTCCACTTGGCCCTGGCCCTTCGAAGGCTCTGGTGTGATTGGTGGCTGGGAGTCAGCACTCTGTATGCTCTGTTCCACATCACCCATGGCACCAGGCCACACACGGACCTTTGTGATAACCCCAATGGGACTTAGACACTGAGTGTGAAGATAAAAATCTGTATGTATAGAAGTTTCATTATTTGGGGTCAGTAATGATAGGAAGAGTAAAGTTTCAAAATTTAGACCTACCTAGTGCCTTATCAGTCTCCCTACAGTTTAGTCTCTCCCCTTGGGCTGTTGGTCCCATCAACTGCCACATGCAGTAGTGGCGCTTTCTAAATCTTGTCTCCTCTTTTTCTGACTTACAGATGCTTTGATGACATTTTTATCACCAGCAAACCAAGTACCTACTACACTTGGCCTACTTGGTTAACTCTCAGTATCTGTGAGTAGAGAAGGCCCTGAGGTCAGGGATGGATGAGCCATTCCTAGAAAGTCTTTCCATGTCTGAGAGCACAGAAGACAGGGCAGCAGGGGAGACAGAATTTGTCTGTGCCACGGGGCAAAAAGGACATCTGAGTGTTTGAAGTCAGATGGGATTAACTGCTAACTTCTCTGACTGTTTCCTTTGTGGCCTTGGATGAATCACTTGGTTTCTTTAAACCTGTTTTTTTCCTCCGTAAAGCACAGATTTTATTTGCCTTAATGGAGCTGTTATAATGATTAAAAACTCTTTACCTACTTTATATGACTTGATCTTCTAAACATTTTATGAGCTAGGTGTTAAAACCTGCATTTTATAATGAAAAAAGAAAAATGAATGCAGCTCAGAGAGATTCAGGGATTTGCCCAAAGTCACACTATTAGTAAATAGCAGAGATGAGATTTAAACTTCAAATCGTGTTGTATCCACTGAATGAATAAGGACCTACATCTGTGTGTTATGTGCAGCATGTACCTGGAAGATGTTTATGTTTTCTATGTATAGAGGATGGATATGTGCTTGTAAATATAGAGAGGAATGTAGTGGGTATTTTTCCTTGGTCAGACTATGAAGTACAAACCATCATTGTGTAATCAAAGCTGTCACCTTCGTTTCCTGCCTCTGTGAAGCTCCTCTGCTCATAGTATGTTCCATCCTTTTTTCTGGAACTTAGGGCATAGGAGCTATTCTAGTGTCAGGAGGGGAGAAAAAAGGAAGAAGAGAAAGTTCACAGAATCACCTAAAGGTGAATGTGTTTAAGTTAAGTTATATGCTCTTCCCAGCACTGACTACCTTAGAGTAGATGTTCACTAAGTGTTAAGACTCCATCCTCTCCTTTAAAGTAGAGCTATTATTAAAGTTTCATTCCGAAAACGTTTAAGATATCAACCAAAGTTTTTGTAGTCATATGTGAATTGTATATATATAAAACGTCAATCCTTTTCTTATAACTACATTGATTTCTTACCTAAGAGTATGATTCTCAAAAAATGAATCATGAGTTTGCTTGAAGGTAAGTGATTGCACATTAGAGGGGCTTAGTAGCTATAAAGTGAAATTACCCTTGATTAAGTTATATAGAGTATTGAAGACCAGAAGGTATGTTTACAGAGAGGGCTCATTTAGCTTCCTGCAGGCCCTCGTATTTAGAGACCCTACAAGCAGAGGGGGCCGAATATCATGATCCTGAGACAGCAGAATCATTTTCAGAGTGAAGGCTGATTAAAAAAAAAAACTCAAGAAAGGAGAGAGGCAGGTGAGCTGTACAAGCATCTCTCATTCCCTTCTGACCCCCTAAGATCCCCCTGGGTTGCTCCCTAGTGTTGGATGCTTGAGTTTTGGTCAGTCAGTGGATCTTTTATTCCACTGCTCTGAGACAAGATGACTACATGCTGTGTCTCCATCAGTGCGGATCCTTGAGAACAACTTCTGTTGTGTGGTGATACAGACCAGAGTTAGGGCATCTGAGCCAAGGAAATTGATGAATTTTACAATAAGCTTCTTTTTAATCTGCTCTCCTCTGGCTTACTTCCCCCTGGGGTATGTGAGTACACAGTAAATCTAGTTATTTTCTTTATTTGTTTTCTGCATTGGATAATATCATTTCTCTCTGTCTCCCATGTAGAGGGTATCTAATGTGGATGCCTCTAAGTAAAATATTATGATCTGGAGTGTGAAGACTGTCCTTTTGATGACTTGTTTCTGAAATCAGTGATTCAGCAGTAACCAACTGCGTGCATCCCAACCCTGGGAGATGGGGTAGTGGTGAGGGTCATTGTACCAGTGAGAGAGCTCTGGGAGTGCATCTGCTGTCTTTGCAAATCCCAGTAAAAATAGACTGCCAGGAACAGCTGATGGCACTTCTAGGCATGCTTCAGCCTAGCTGCCTTCTGTCAGAATTTTTATGCCATTTCCAAAGATTACAGTTTTTTTGCATCTCCTAAAACATCGTTTATGGAAGAACATCGAGGGCCCCTAGACTCACTTCTGGTCTCCGTATCTAAAGGTGTAATGTTCTATAACCTGGTTAAATATATAAAGGTACCTTCAAGCTTTTTTGTTTTGTTTTGTTTTGTTTTGTTTTCAGTGTAATGGATCATAATGGCCCCAGGGTTTATTGAATGTGAAGCAATTAGAGCACCTTAACTATCTAGAGAGTTTAAGGATTGTTGAAGTATTATCTGAATGCAATACATGTTCTCTCACTCTGTGAAGCCTTGGGGTGGAGGTTGTAGAGGAAGACAGACCCAAGTGCATTAGGTATGAGTAAGCCACAACTTGGTGTTTGGGTATATTCTGGTAGGATGCCAAACTGGCCACTCTGGGACCACTGAGTTTACTAATATCAGAGTTTCTCCTAGAGAATACTTCTTTCCTGTCCCTGAGGAAAATACTAGCGTCTGAGCCTGTAAGAGGTCTAGACCTAAGATCCTCTCAATAGTATGGAGGTCTTAGAAGAGTGACAAAAGTCCAAGACTCAAGGGTCCTCAGCTCTGGCCTCTTCAGAAGTGTCTCTATTTACCTGAAAGGGCCATTACAGGAAACCTTTTTAACCAGCCTATTCCTATGTACTCCATTCCCAGTGACATGTAGAGAACCTCTGAGAAAAAAAAAGTGAACCTCTATCTTGAGAGCTGGGTCCTAAGTTTTTTGGGAGAGGTATAGATGCTTGGGAAAGGAAAGGGAAGAAACTGCAGAGGGAGGCGATTGGGTCCCTGAGAAACACTCTTCTTTGGAAGAGGTTCAACTCATCCATCAAAAGAACAGACACAAATGTCTGAGCAAGCCATCGGGACATAGGTATTAGATCTTGATGCCCCAGGGAAGTAAAGACCAACCCCAGAAACCAATTGATTTAAGCATCCCCCTGAGCACTGGGATTCTGCAAAGAGCTAGCATATCTCCTCACCTAAAACTATGGCCCATGTGAAGAAGGTAGGTATGAACCAGGACGTCAGATCCTGAACTACTGTGGGGAGAGGGTTGCTTTGAAACTGGAGCAGGTGAATTTAGCACTAATAGAAGAAAGCACAATTTACCATGGCAGATCAGACACTTGAGAGATTATTACACGTAGCTCTTCTGGCAGATGGCTTAATTCCATAGGGGTTTGGACAAACGAATGCCAGGGGCCATCTTCTATCCCCGCAAAAAGAGAGGCTTCTGAGAGATAATGACACATATATAACCCTTAATTTAGACACTAAAGAGGACAGTATGCTCTTACTGGGCTGGACGGAGAACGGGCAGCTTGGTGTAGTAGGAAAAACTGACTTGAATTAAGAAGATCTGAGTTCAAATCCTGACTCCTCAATTTATTTGCTGTGTGACCTTGACTAAGTTCCTAACCTTTCTCACCCACATAAGGTTCTGGTTAAAGTTAAATAAGGCTATTACATAATCTACAGTAGGCTCAATAAAACAAAGTTTAGCCTGAGTCCTAAACTAATTATGTGTTTGTTTGTTTTTTAAATTTAACACATATTTACTGAGCCGTATCAAATACTAGGCTGTGTATATATATCTCCCTTATTCTAGAAAGGCTCATGAAGTGAAGGCGCAGCTCTGCTCCATCCTGCAGACCTTCCTCAGGATGGCGGGAGGCTGTGAAGGTGAGCGTCCCTGTGTCTTCTCTTGGTTGCAGAGTGGCGTGCATGGTGGGAGAGAATATCTGAGTACTGCCTTGGACCGAGCATCTGATTCCATCTCAGGAAACAACCCCCACTTCCCTCTTAGCCGCTTTCTTAATAACCAACCAAAGCTTTCACAACCTACTGAGTAATACCAGGTGGTGATGATATGGTTTGCAGCCACTTCTGCTTTTTCATTTACTCGTTTCTACTGAGAGTCTATAGGTGCCCAACTCTGGGACAGGAGAGTTGAAGGTCTTTGGGAGAAGTGGAGGGAGTGGGAATAAGGAACATCGTGATATTGTGGGTATTGAGGTTCTTTCCCCTCCTCAAAAAATTGTGCTCCAAGCGTGTGAGTGCCCATATCATTATGATTAATTATGGTTACCTCAGATCAGGCTGTGCCTCCTCCAGCCAGTGGTGTTCTCCATTCCTTAGCATCTGGTCACAGAAGTTCCACAATGTCATTTTGATAAACATATGAGTACTTGCCAGGTGTGCCGTAGCCCCTTGCCAGTGATGACTAAATCTGCCCATCCAAAACCAAGCTTTAAGGATACTTCAGTATCATTCACATATTTTCTTGGCCTTAATTAAACTTTCCATTGGTTCAGCCTTTAACTACATTGTGAACTTCTATTTCAGTTCATGCCCAACTCCTTTCCTCGAAGGTTGTGATGGTGGTGGTGGGAGGGCTAGCTCCATCCTTCCTCTCACCTTGCCTCCACCATGCAACTCGTCTAACTTTGACCCCGTTTCTTTGCTTTTCCAGAACTCACATGCTGCGTGTCAGACTGAGCTATCCCTGTTTCATCCTATAATCCAAGACTTGCTACACTGTCCTGCTGATGTTCACAGCCATGCCTGAGAAGGAGGCAGCCCCATTCCCAGTCCATTTCAATGGGAGACCCCCATATGCGCCCCATGGAGCCTGGATGGGGCAGGGGAAGAAACTGTAGGCGTGCAGGTCCCAAAAGATGAGTCTCCGTGTGAGAATCTGTGTCACCTCGCTTTCCTCTCAGAGACCTCGCTGTCCCAGCGGGACCTGCCCAAGAAATGAGGGGACGAGGGAGCCACCCCGCCTCCTTCCTTCTCCAGCACTGCGCCCCCTGGGCACAGTAGCTCCCGGCGCCGTGGAGCAGCTGAGCGCTCAGAGCCCCTGCTGCCCTGCATGCGTCAGCTCTGTCCTAAGCTGTATGAGCGTGTACAGGAAGGACATGGCATCTTTCTGAGGATTCTCCCTGACACATGTGCCAGTGCTTATGCAGTTCACAATATTTCCCCCGTCCTTGCTCTTCCTGTCCCTGGCTTTTTTTCAATAGGCTTCATACTTATTTTTTTTTTTATGGAGGAATTTTCCTCTTTGCCCCCTCCATTCTGTATTTGACCCTCCTCCTCTACCCCTCCAAGGAACGGAATGACCTGAGGTTCTGACAAATGATAAGAAAACTGTCATTGGTAAGCCTGCAAACTCTTCCTATCATCTGTATTTTGTCGTTGAAGAGAGACTAGTGTTCTACTTTGATCTGCTTGGTCCTAGATACCTCCCACAGGAGCGGGTGTTTAAACTGAGCCAAGCTGTGTATCACTGTGACAAGCCATTTGCATACTGTCCTGTTCCCTTACAGCCAGACCAGCTGATAAGGAACTGCATCTGGGTTGGTCCTTTAGCAAGTCATAGATCACCCAGGTTTATTTCAAGCAGATGGAATCTGTTTGGCTTAGCAGGGTGAAGTGACAGAGCTGTGTCTGCAGGTGAGTCTATGAGTAGGATGCCATGAGTCCCCACCCTTTCAGCTCAAAGGCCCCCGGAGACCTGCCTGCAATCCGGTTTCCACCAGCTTGGGCTCTTCCTGTCTGCTCTCAGCACCAGCCCTTGCTGGCATCATAGGCCAGCTGCTCTGCGGCTTCATACACACAGCCGCAGGGACAGGAATAACTTAGCGCCCCATTGGCTACCCTAGCACACATGAATCTGGCCACTCCCTTACCATGCAGGCTGCAGGGCCCAGGGTCACAGCACCGTGAAAGACAACTAGAGTTTGGCCTCCCGGCCGTCCCTGGGATCTGCAGCTGGGAGGTAGCCGGATGGCTGATCGTATGTACCCCAAACAGCCAGGTGGTTGCAGAACAGAGTGGCTACAATTGAGTTGACCCCTTTCCCCCACCACTCTCCCGTCCCATCCCCAGGCAGAGTGAGGTGCCACTGAAATGGCGATCCACTCTAGATATCCAGATCCTCAGAGCTGCGTTCAGCTCAGCAAAGAGAATGCGATGTTGCTGGCTGAAGGCGATGCTCGGAGCTTGAGCTGCCTTTAATGTTTGCGGTTTTGCAGTCTTCGTGGCTTCTCTTCTGAGGAGGAGTTGGTTCTCATCTTAGGCTTTTGCGGGGGTGACCTGGGGATGTTCTCACCACTGCCAACTCTTGGAGCTATTCTGAGTCTTGGCTTGGGGCCCCGAGGGTGGGCCTGTGTCAGAGGTGCTCAGGGCTCAGGGAAGAGGTGGCAGACATTGCCTTTAGGGTTCCCCACAAAGCAGCCCCTTCGGAAAAGACCCAGGGAGAGGAGGTAACTGGCTGTCCACATTACATGCCACGTGGTGTATACTTCTCTAAAGAAGGAGGCTGGGATAGCTGTCTCTGTGCCCCTGCCCTGGATTTGTTGTCGCACATGGATGCAGAAGGTGGAACGGTTCCCTCACTCTTCTGCTTTCCTCTCCTGACCCACATGAAATGGTGACTGTTGACTAGAGAAACAGTTACTTGCCTGTGACTCTGCTGCCAGCTTCATTCTCTCTGCTCATTGCGAGAGGACCCAGGAGATTTGGAGACTGGGGCCAGGCCAGGTCTGAAGGCAGAACAGGGAAGCCCACCCCGGTTCCGGGTCACATGTAGCTTTGGGACGAGTGCAGCTCGTTTTGAGTCCCATGAACCAAGAAAGCTCTTCCTCCGCCTTGTTGTAAGAGCTTCTGGTTCTGCATCCCCAGCCTCCAATGAGGAGGATGTTGACTAAGATCTTATGCTCTCACTTTACCTCTGGGAAGTCCCCCAGCATTCCGAGTGGACGCTCCGGGGAATGGAGGAAGGACACGCCAAGGAGCCTCTAACATTTGTCTTTGCCATTCCAAGCGCTTGGTGCTGAGAGGGCTTCCCAGCCACCCCCTTTCTGGGGCCACAGTGTTGCCATCGTGTATGTCAGTGGTGTGTCACTGTTGTGCAGTAAGCGCGTGTGGCGGACACAGAGAGTCTGTCTTCATGGCCCACACCCAACATGCCCAGCGGGTGCTGCGCTGAGCCTGGTCTGTGCTCCCTTGGATGAGGACCCAGAAGCCCTGCAAGTTGTCTTCTGTCTCCTTCTCCGTCATCGCCCCCCTCCCCCAACCCTGATTTCCTAGAGGTGGTGGAAAAGAGGACAGCAGACTGATTTCTTAGCATGTCTCTTAAAAGTCCATCTTTCCCATAGCCCATTTTCTATCAGTCAGCGTCCAACCAGGAAAACAGAAGCCACTCTATGTATTTAAAACAGAGGGTTGAAATCCAGATCACTGTTTAGCATAGAAACAAGAAAAGCTGAGAAGCCGAACAAGGGAGCAAGGGTCCACCCAGAGATGGAGAGCAAGAGCGGGAAGTCTGGTGGGACACAGCGGAGGCCATGTTACCAGAATCTGGGGCACAGGGATGCTGGAAGGAACCTGGGACCGCAGAGGGCCTGTCTGGTGGGAGCTGCAGCCGTGAGGAGGCATGGTCCCTGCCAGAAACAACCCCCCAGGCGGAGAGCGGGAGAAGTGGCCTGACTTCTCCCTACCATGTGCCTTCCGGATTTCTGCTGCTTGTTAGCTAAACCCAACTGGAAGCCAGCTGACCTGGGGCGGGGGGCACTGGGACAGGCAACCTGCAGTGGTCAGCCCCACTCAGCAAAAGGGGGGGTGGGGCAAGGAGCAGGTCTGAGGGTAGCAGGCCAGGGCATGCATGACCTGGGTCTGCTCTGTGTCATATCCAAGCCTGATGTTCATACCCCCGTGCTGTCCTAAGCCCCTGGTGAGGGAAGAGGGAGGAACTATCCCCTGGGCTTTTGTGGATTCTTTCACTCTGCCTAGAGGGGAAAGTGCTTTTGAGAGGGAGGGAGAAGGCGTTTATTCTTAACAGTTGCCTCTGTTTTCCTTTGGGGGAATTTATCCATTTAGCTACCCCACCTCACCATGCCCCTCAGGAGAGCTGTGTCCCAGTTTTCTGTCTGCCCCTGCCCATTCCTCTGCCCCCAGTCTCTGGTTTTCTCTGCCAGAGAACACTGACCCAGACCACGCACCAGCGGTCATGAGTGTTTCCCCAGGATAATTCATTCACAGTGTGATATTACAGTGTGGACTGTCTGTCTGTAAGTAGATGCCATCTACTAATCGATTTGTATCGTGTTTCCAATAAATTTCTGGAAATTATGTCTGGTTTTATGCTGTCCTTTTGCTGGGACAGTGGCTTGGCACATCTTGGCACATCTCCACCCCAGCCCTCAGCATCAGATGTCCCTTGTCTCAGGTACCACATACCCCCGCATGAGCCTTGGAGAGTTATGACTGGCCAGGCCAGTTAGTCTGATGTCCCCCCCAGCCACACCGAGACTCTCAAATGCCCTTCTCAGGGTCTGCATTTTCTTCTGTCTCATAAGCTACATCCTGAGGACATGGAGGTTTTGTGAGGCCAGGTCACCTCAGTAGGTGGCCTTTGACCTCGTGTCCCCTGGTCCTGGAGGTAAGAGTAAAAGGAGCAACAGGTAGACATTTCCCCATCAACCACTTTGCACTGCTCTGCCCAGTGCTGGTCATGGGACGTGTGCTGGGCCTCTTGGAGGGTGAGCTGAGGGAGTGTGCTATGCCCTGTGTGAGAGGAGGCCTGTGCAAATGGAGTGGACACAGGAGCTGCACATTCCACAGATGGAAGCCCAGCACCCTCTTCTCACCATCCTCCTCAGGCCTGAAAGTCAGAAGCAAAGATGTCTGAGTTAACTTAAAAGGTAAAGGGAGCCCGATCCAAATGCCTGACATTCCCTTTTCCCAGGCCCTGAGTGCTGAAGCCTACACAGCAGACTTTATTCTCTGTTGTGCATTTTATTGGTTTGACTGCAGTGTAACCTCTGCCTCGGTGTCTGGTCTGGGGCTGCTGCAGGCTCACTTAGGACCTCTCCAGCCCAGACTGTGAAGTATGCCTGTGTTGGGACCCTTGTTTGCTGAGATTTGAGAGACTAAGAGGGGGAGGGAGAGGGAGAGACCGAGTTTCTTTCAAGAGTTTCGCTGGAGAAGCAAGACACACGCGTGAGGTTCCTTGAGATAAGAAAAGGTACCTAAGGCCGTGTTGGTACTTGTAGGAGTTCTGGGATCGAGAGCTCAGTTGGGTTGGACTGGAGGGTTTCGTGGAAGCAGAGGGAGTCTGCAAGGTAGAACACAGCAGCCCCACCCCCACGAAATCCCTCAGATGCCCCACAGTTCCTGGTGTCTTTTTATTACGACTTTTTATCCTGACAAATACCTGCCTCTTTCTGGCAGCTCATCTGTAGAGCTCAGAGTGTCCCATGCCCTGCCCCACAAGGCATACCAACCGGGACGGGGTTTTTATGGTCAAATTTCCTAAGGAGTTTCTTCTGGCTAAAGTTTCCTTTCCATTTGTTCTGATCTTGCTCCTGGACTGCAGTGGGTGGCTGGAGGAAGGCCTATAACCTGCAGGGACTGTCGCGTCCCCAGAGCTGTGGGTGCCTCGCTCACCAGGTAGTTTTGGGCTGCTCATTTTGTTATTTGGCCCTTTTATATGTTCTTCAGGAGCTCGTTTTCTTACTCCCAGAACCAGCTGTTCCAATCGTTTGTCACTCCCTAAGCCCTCACCCCCTGAGAGCAGAGCTCTCTAAGGGTCCCTTCACCTATCTTCCCCCCCACCCCAAGACTGACTGCATGTAATAGTGCCTTCCCACCAGCCCAGGAAGACACCCCTTGGCCTCTAGAAGACCCTCAGGCCCCCTCGTGGTGAATCCATTCCTTCCCTGACCTCCACCCCTCTGAGGGCCTTGCAGTAGAATGCCCTGACTCAGACCAGACTACCCCTTGCTAGCTGTATGAACTTAGGCAAGTTATTCAACCTCTCTGTGCCTCAGTTTTTTCATCTGTGGGATGGGATAATAGTATCTACCTCATAAGGCTAATAAATTGCAAAGTGCTTAGCACAGGGCCTGGGACAGAGTGTTTATTGTTGCTTTTTGATCATTCTCTCCCTTATCCCCTCATCTTCACCTCTCCCTTCTCTTACCACTAGATTTAAATTTCTCCATCCACTCAACAAAACAACAGAGCAATCAAACTACCACAGTGGGCTGTCCTCAATTTAGATTCACCTGAGGCTACTGTCTCTCTTCCTTTGCTGGCACATTTGTTGAGAGAAACGAGTTTGTCTCCATTGCTTCAAATCTCATTAATTCCTCAACCCATTATACTACTTTATGGCTTCCATTCTACCACCTCCCCCCGCCCCCACGCACTGAAATTGCTGTCAATAAAGGCATTAGTGACCTCCTAATTGCCAAATCCAATACTATTTTTAGCCATTCCATTTCTTGAGCACTTGAAGCTGTTGTCATATTACTTTTCTTGGTTCATGGCACTGACCCCTTTATTCTCTACCCAGAGCAATGCTAAGTAGCATTCAGATACTGCTCATAGTTATTTTTCCAGCTTTTTTTACAAAGATAATTTTAGATATAGTGGTAGTCACCTGTACACCCCCTTCCCATGTTCCTCCATTTCAGAAGCAAGTTCTCTCTTTAATGTGGTGTTTATCATCCCAGTGCATGATCTTATATAATTAATACATATCTATGAATCTGTAACCAATATAGAACATGTTTTGCATATTACTAAATTTTATACAAATGACTGTCTATCACTTCTTGAAAAGCTTGTCTTAATAGTACTAGACAATCCAGGTTTAAATCTAAGACCAGACAGTGGCAGACACACACTGTAGTTTTCAGATCAACTTTCTCCAGTTTGCAATTAGGAATTCTGAAAATGCTTTATTCTTGCATGAGGCACTTTGAAGTCTGTCTGGGTATTTTATGTTTGGCTTTTACCCTCATAAAAGGTGTCTCTATTTTCTACTTTTTAATGGGCAATCTCTTCGGCAAAGAGATTGCGTTGACTCCTTTTATGCTCTTTTTATTGCTACATTCCTGATTTTCTTCATATTAAAGGTTTCTTCTGGGCATTTCACTGGGTCTTCCTTTGTGTGTTTCTTACGTGTGGGGATTTTTAAAAGGATGATTCTTAGTCCTCTTCACTCTCTCCCCTGGTGACCCCATCCATTCCCATAAGCTCCCAATTAGTAACGAAGATTCTAAAATCCTGTCTTTGGCCCAAAATGTGCTATTGTACCTTTTTACCTGGAGGTCCTCCAAGCCCTTCCAGCTTGTCTTAACTCTTTATCTGCTCCTGCCAGCCTGATCTGCCTCCTATATCCTCAATGTGTCACCATCTACCCATCATCCACAGTCACCTCTCATCTTCACCTGGGCTGTGCCTCTCTGGCCCCTCATGTTCTCTGCCACTGCCTTTATTTAGGCCCTTGCTTGGAATACGGACTGTTTTCCATTCTGGTCATCTCCCATACTCGCTCACCCATCTGTCCGCAGTGTTTGTTACCACTTAACTGATCAAAATGCAAAATTGGTCATCTTTGATATCTTAAGATCATACTCCTGAAGACTTTTAACAGATGGAGAGCATCCCTGTCCATGATATGAGAAGTTTGGACTAAGTAGATTAAAACTCCTAAAGAAATTGAAGAGAGAGGATTTGATTCTCATCATCAGACCCCATACCAGAGGCCTAGAGGCCTCTGTTTGGGGTGATGAGTAGAGAACGAGTTCTAGTCCCTTCTGTCTCCCGCAGCAGGATGGGCTTGTGTGTTGAAAGGAGATGTTCATTTCCTGAGGGGGTCAGGGCCACAGACACATGGGGTTCAGGAGGTGCATGTTTGGGGCTTTAGTGACCTCTAAGTAGCCCTTTGGGAACCTTGAATGCTATGCCTCGCCCTGTGACTTCCCCTGTGGACATTAAGGCCAATCATTACTCCCCCCTAAAAACATCAAAATCCTGATTCATGCCAGATACACACCTTTGCCTGGGGGACACAGGCCAATGGATGGGTTAGCCCAGATGGTCTCAGACACTAATCATAGGCATAATGAATAGAACAGAAAGAGGTGGACAAGATAGTGTTGGGGGAGAGCTGTGAGCCAGATCTGGTGCCCCTGAGGCCCCTGCTCTCACCTGGGGTCCTGTTCCGTTAGTGTGTGTAGCTCCCACCACAGGTTCCAGGGCCAAGGAAGTGCACTTGAGGCTGAGGAAAGCCATGAGGGTGGGAGTTGGGGCTGGCTGAGCCAGGAATGTGTGGAGGTGGTAACCTCCAAGGCTGGAGATCCCCAAGTCGTCCCAGGGGAGAGTAGGGCAGAGCCCTGGGTGCCTTGGGCAGGACTTTGGGATTGCAGAAGGGGAACTGAAGGCCAGAGGGGAGCAGAGAGAGGCCTCCCAGGGATCCTGGTGGGCCACCTTTGTCTGAGGACCTCACCTAGCAAAGCGTTCTGCCTTTAAGGGACACTTCAGGTCTCCAGGAGTGAGGTGGAAGGACAGTGCCCTGGACAGCTTCCCCTCTCTGTCCTGTTTCCCTTCATCTTGGGGCACCCACTTTGAATGCTACTGATGCCAGGCCTGGTAGACCCAAAGACAATTATTCAAGTTCCTTAGAACGATTGAGACAGGCTTGCATTTTCAGAAGGAGGTTTATTAGCATTGAAAGGAACAAACTAGAGATCACAGAAAATACAGCTGTCCAATTTCTAAAGCAAGACTTCTGCTCCCATAGTAACCAACTCCGACCAGGGACTGGGCAGCTGTGCAGCCCTCTATCCGAGCTGGAGCTCCCACAGCCCCTGCCTGTCTCTGCCTGCCCTCTGCTCTTTCCTGTACTGTGGGGACATCACTTGGGCTACATTGCCCTGTAAGGCCAAGAACCTTTCTCTCCCTGTAACCCACCTGGCTCCTGCAGATGTTCTTTGTCCAGTTGTTTGAGGTACCCTGTGCTGGCAACAGTCCAAGGAGTGACCTTGTCCTTTCTGGCAGGCAACAGTCCAAGGAGTGACCTTGTCCTTTCTGGCAGACACCAGTCCTAGGAAGGGCCTTTCCTTACTCCGGCGAGACCTCCAGTGAGACCTCCGCCTGCAGCTTCCCAGCAGCCTCCGCCTTCCTGGAGGCCTCCTGTTCCCTGTTGGAGGGCTGGTAGAAGCTCTCATCACTGGCTGGGCCCTGCCCGCCCTGGGCGAAGCCCAGCAAGGCTCGGCACCGGCGGAGGAAGTTGGGGCTGGAGAAGCAGTAGAGCACCGGATCTAGGACGCTATTGAGATAGGTGAAGGCCAACGAGCCGTGAAAGAGCTGTGAGCAAATGTTCACGGCATGGCAGGCCTTCAGGCGGAAGGCCACCACGGATGCCAGGCCGAAGAGGATGCTGGGCAAGAAGCAGATGGTGTAGACGGCCACCACTGCGGCCAGCACGCGCATAGCCCTGCGCGGGCCTGCTTGCTCCCCGAGGCCGCGGCGCCGGATGGTCAGCCCGATGCTCACAATGGCAAAGAGGATGAGCGCCAGCGGCAGGAAGAATTCCAGCACATACAGAGCATGGTGCCAGTGAAGCCAGGGCGAGGGGCGTGTGCCCAGCTGGTAACTGAGGCAGGACTGGTTGGTATAGGTGGTCAGGAGCAGGTGCAAGTTGAGGAGCAGGATGCACACCCAGAGCCCCCCGGCCACCCGGGCGGCTGCCCACACCGAGGCCCGGCTCAGCCAATGGTGGGGCTGCACCACCTTCAGGTAGCGGTTGAGCGCGATGGCTGTGAGGAAGACCACGCTGGCCGTGCGGTTGGTGGACAGCAGAAAGAGGTTGACCTTGCAGGCGCCGGCCCCGAAACGCCAGATCTCGTGGAGGAGGTAGTAGTTCATGCGAAGGGGCAGGTTGACGATCAGGAGAAAGTCCGCGACGACCAGGCTGACCAGGAACACCGTGTTGGAGGTCCAGGGTCGCGTGTGGACGCAGAAGATGAAGAGCGCCAAGCTGTTCCCCACCAGCCCCAGGATGAACTCCACTCCCAGGGTAGGCAAGAGGAAGGCAGACACCTTGGGGGAAGAAGTAGGGAGGCAGGGAGCCTGTGACCCCAATGTAGTGGTAAAGGTAGTTGGGGAGGGAGGGAGGGAGGGAGGCAGAGTAGAGGGAGAGAGAGAAGGAAAGGGAGAGGAAGAGCTCAGGTTATGAAATTCCATGTGCTGCTTGGGCTGTAGACCTCCGAAGTTTCCAGAGTCTTTCTGCCCCTGCATGAGTGTTCACAGATGAGTGCTTTCTATCGGCTGGCCACTACAATGACTCAGTGTCCTGGGGTTTTCATCAGCATCCTCATAGACACTGAGAAACACCCAGTGTTCCTGTTTGCTAGCAAAGGGGAAACTGCAGCACCCCTCCTCCCCCTCCCTGTACTGGGTACTGGGCGAGCCCCCATCTCTGAACACCAGCCTGGCGGGTGGCATCTGTGCTGCCCCTGGCAGAGGAGGAAGCAGGGTTCAGTAGGGGTGAGATGGAGGCCCAGAGAGACTCTGAAGTGGGAGGAAGGCCCAGCTGGGGTGAGGTGAGGGGGAGTGTGCACAGCTCTGACCGGTCAGACATTTGCTTGCTGAAGGCGGGAGCAGGGCCTGGCAACTCACAGCTCTCAGGATCATGCAGACCATCCTGGACAGCCCCCCAACCCCATCATATATACAGGCTAGCTGGCTGTCTCCCTGCCCCCACCAGCTCTGGCAGCAGGGACTGTGAAGCCAACAGATAGGGTCCTGGAAGAGAGAGGTGGGAATCCAGTCTATACCTGACCATCAAGTGCATGGCCTGTGGGAACCAGGCTGTGCTGTGCCCACTGCTGTAGTTACTTCCGGATTCCTGATGGTTCCAAAGTCTGTGATGATCCCAAATTCATGTACATGACAAAGTACATCCCATAGGCAGAGGGCTCCCTTCTTCTTTTTCTACTGCCAATTTCTACTGCCATAATCTGGGGACCAGGGGGCTTCTCCCCCGAACAGAACAAGCTCAAGAATCCTCGAGTTTCCCCGTCCACTGTTTACTCCTCTTTGTCTTCATCCAGCATTCACTGCAGGGAACGGAGTGAGAGGCTGGGGCTGACTTTGGAACAGGTGCAAGTCCTACTGTCCCACTGCAGTGTTCTCGTGAGCCCATGCAGCCAGCCTGCAGTAACGATGAGGACCTCGGGCTCCTAACAACATGAGACAGCACCAAGGGAGGCTGTGGTTCCAGGTTCGAGGACCTGACACTCACCCTTGCCAACTGGCTGTACTTAGCAGCATGCCATGTGCTGCCAGCTCTACCTGGGCCTCTGGGTTTCAGGCACAGCGGCCCCTGGCTCCTCTCCCACAGATCCTCCAGGCCTCTCCCCTGCCCTGGACTTCCGTATGGCGAAAGCTGAGTATAGTCAGGCTACGACCACAGAGTGCAGGGTGGTGAGACCACCAGCTTGAAGTTTTATTATTATTATTATTATTTTTTGGACCAAAAAATCTTTATGATGGTGCTGTACAATTAGAAGTGAATTAAAATATGTCAGCATAATTTATATATAACCTTGTTAAAGTAAAAGGTCATCCTCAGACCTACTTTTCTGAAATCTCTCTTCTCTGGTCCAGGTGTCTTTCCAGCAGCTGTTGCTGTTCTTTTAAATCCAGTCTGAGTTTTGAATACATACAGGCCTTGGCTGGAAACAACTGCCTGCTTTCCAAACCTCTCTGAGCTTTATCTGTAAAATGGGGTGGTACCACCTACCTGGAGGGCTGTGAGGAGTAAATAAGATAATGTATGTAAAAACTTCTAGGGAATTCTCCGGCACAGTGCTTGTGTTCAGGAAAACGGAAGATGTAATTATCATTATTTTCTGTTTCTGATTAGGCACTAGGGACAAACTCCCTCTTGTCATGTCCATCCACACTCAGGCAGGGGGCCTCCATGACACATCCCCATGTTCTCAGCTTCCCCACAGAGCCACACATTGCTGCAGCCTGAGCAGGCGCCAGGCCTCTGCCCTCACCCCCCTGGATGGTTTGCAAATAAGGGGAGGCTGGCAGTGTTTTCTCTTTGCTTGTAGGAGAGGAAGGTCCCAACATCCCTCGGGGCTGGAAGCCCCTTCAAAAGTTAGGCTGGGCTCTCTCCTCTGCTCTTCAGTGGAGTATACGAAAGCAGTGAGCTGTGCAGAAGACAGGGTTCAGACCCTAAGTTTTCTGGAAGAAGCTTTGACTCTAACCAGGGACCTGTTCCGCCCAGATCCCGCTTTAGTTACCCCCATGTGCGACCCCTCATTGGCTTCTCATTGAAGTCAGGATACCGAGCCCAGATCTCCTGCTACGGGTTCCATGTTTCATCTCTATCCACTGTTGCATCTGCGGCTCCCAGCACTCCCATAGGAGGCCCAGGAGCCCTCTGAGTCTTTGTACACTGTCGAGGGGGAGCAGGGGGATGTGGCCAGATACCCCTCTCCTGTTGCCACGCTCCTCATACAACTTCATGCCCTCTACAGGCTCATCACAATCTTTGCATATTAACAGTTATTAACTCTGGGTGGGGTATTTTGTATTTTTTTGTATTTCTATATTTTATACAATGAGCAGAAATCATTCCTGTTATTGGTGGGGGGAAAGACCTAACAGATTCTATTTTTTGAAGTTATGTAAAAAGAGTAAGCGAGAAAGAGCCAGAGAGGTAATACCAGCTGTGCCCCCAGGACAAGCACAATAGCCTGTGTGGATCAGGCCACATGCACAGTGATGAGAGCCCCTCTATAAGCAGGTGCACCCCCGCAACAGACCTTCCACATGTCTACAGTCACCTGGTGCCCTGGTACCCAGGCAATACACAGTCTCAGGAGCACACGGGGTCAGCTATCGACCACAGCTTGGGTACATGCAGACCCACAGGTGCTCGTTCACAGGAAGCCTTTATAGAGGGCCATCTTTGTGGCGGACAAGTGCTGAAATGAGCCCGTGGGGACAGAGGATGAAGAAGCAGTGGAGCAGACCACCTGGCAGAACTGTGCAGGGCAGTGGGGCGAAGGCTGTTAGAGGAGAAGGGGAGTTACTGGCCCCTGAGGAGCCTGGCATCTGGGCCAAGAGGACAGAGGCGGATAGAGACCGTGTCCCGGGTTCAGTGGCAGAGGACTCTGAGTTTCTCAGCAGCAGTACACCTACAAGCAGCAGGCGCTGTGAGAGCAGTTCGGCACGGGTGGTACTTTGGCACATCCTGTGGCTGCTTTGGGTCCATAGCAAGACTATCACTCCAGAGGCTTCTTGCGAGCGGGGTCCTGGGTCACAGCCAGGGCCACAGAGCTTTGCTCTCGCTCCCAGGCATATCTATGGAGACAAGGGTGGGCAGGGGTCAGACAAGGGTGGGCCGGGGTCAGACAAGGCTGGGCTCTGAGGATCCAAGGGAAAGGAGGGCAGTCCCACAGCTGCGGCAAAATCCTCCCCATGGACTCACTCAGTCCCAGCAGGCACCAGGAGGCTGTCATCAGGGGTCAGGCTCAGGCACTGTCCCCCCATCGTCACCATAGAGGAGCCTTCCTGGGGGAGAGGAGCAGGAGAATTGAATGGAGGCTACTGGGCCTCCATAGCTGTTCTGAGTCTGCCTTGGTAAGGAGGCCCTAGGAGCCAGTCTGGGCTATGGGAGCACAAGGCCCAAAAGCAGTCTGGTCCACATGGGCAGGACATTGTGCCACCCTCTCCTGGGGACCCCACTTGCCAGCTGCCACAGCCACATGTCCACGTCCAGTCTCGGGCCTTTGTTCCTGCCTTGTCCGTGGACGATCACCTAGAAGGAAGTGACACAGATCTTTCTGGTGCTTCCTGCCCCATATAGGAGATGACCTTGAACCCGGCCCCCAGATACCAGTCCTTTGAGTGCTGAGTGCGGGGGCCGGGGGGTGCACAGCACAGTCTTATGTCCATGTGCAGAGCAAAGTCCAGGACTTAGAAAGCAAAGCTGCCCAGGCTGCAGGCCTCCCTGCTGCCTTCATCACGATGGGTGCTGCCTGCCTGCCATTTGGGATCACGCATGCCTGCCCTTCATACACACATGCACATCTGGTCCCTCTGTAGCACATCACAACTATTGTTGATCCCCATGAAGGCATGCCTGCTAAAGGCACACTAGCGACAGACACACATGTGCACGATGTAATGCAGACCCGCATAGCACACAAATGTCATTCCTCAAAGGTGCCCACCTTCCTTTCTCTGTGAGATTCTGGCCTAAGGAGCAGGAGGGAGATGGGAGGGGATGAGCAAGAGTGAGAGAGATGCTGAGCCTCTGACCTGCATCAGCCTGGAAGCCCACAGGTACTGTGCAGGCCATGTTCCCACTGGCCCAGAGGGGGACTCAGTAGGTATTTGTTGGCATAAACCAAAGCAGGTGGCATCAGGGATGACAAAGAAACGGAAGGCAGGGCCATGAGCCCAGATGAGCACTGAATGATGTTGCTGTGATGGACGGCAGGTGCTTTGTGGTGTGTGCCTGCTCTCACAGCCCTGCTATGCTTGGGTGTCTGTCTGCTGGCCAGGCCTCTAAGGGCAGGTCTATATCTAGTGAGCATCCCTCCATGGGCCTGTTGTTCAAATTGTAAGCGCCAGTGGCAAATTATGAAGCACAGTGAGCACAAGCCTCCTATCAGGTCTCCCAGTTTCCGCACTTGCCCTCCTGATCCTGCCCACACAGGAGACAGTGATCTTTCTGAAACGCTACTCTGGCCTTGTCATCCCCTACTTCAATGCCTGGGCAAAGCTCTGTTGTCTCCATGATAGATCCTTGTGCCTTGCCTATTCCAGGAGACCTACCAGGACCTGGGCACTGCCTGCTACTCCAGCTGTCTACCAATTGTGCCTGCTGCCCCCATTCCCCTGCCCTGGCTCGTGTCAACCTCAACTACTTGCAGTGCCAGCCTGTTTCAAGCTTTCTGGCCTTTGCTCAAGCTTCTCCCTCACAGAATGCTCTCTCCAACTCCCTTATTTTCTTTTGAAAACTCCTGTGTTTATTTTAAAATAGTTTACACATCACCTCCTCCAGGAAGCCTTCTCTTACTTCTCTCCCAGCCTGGGTTCCTCTTTTATCACCCTGTGGCTTCTTAAAGCTTCTCTCCAAATAACCTATCACATGATTGTGGTAATTATTGATTAGCTTGTCTGTTTACTAGACCACACATTCTTTGAGACAGTGATTCTATCTTATTTCTTTTACCAAAACTTGAAACATAATAGACACTTGATAAATGTTGAATGAAAGAAGGTCATCTTTGTTTAAGTCTCTCTCTGTGTACCTCTCCATCAAACCCTCACCCCTAAACACCTCTCTCCCTTCCAGCTCCCAAGGCGGTGGCTAGCCAAAGGCTCAGGAAGGCCTAGCAGCAGAGGGATAACCTCAGACCCTAGAAACCTTTCACTGGATGGGGCAAGCCCTTACTCTGGAGGCAAAGAAAAATTGCCTGGGACCATGTAGCCTCCATAGGCTCCCACTCATAGCAAAGCCATCATTCTCCGACTTAGGGAAGAAACAGGAAGGCCTATTTGCCCATGTCTACAACCTCTGAAATGTGTCGGGGGCGGGGGGCGGAGGGGAGGGTTGCGCGCGCGCGCACGCGCACATGCGTGTAGTTCCCATTTCCTGGGGCTGTTAGGTGAATGCCCTGTGTGGCCCAGGGCTGCATTACCTGGGTCTCATAGGTGTCCCCAAACAGGCTGAGGGGTGTGCCTGCCTGCAGCTTCTCGTGGTGGCCATCTAGCCAGGTCTTCAGGGACACGGGCTCCATGACAGATCGTGTGCTCAGGGGGTATGGTGGTTCCTTGAGCAGCTGGTCTGCACCACAGCCCAGCTGTGGTCAGTGTCCTCTGGCCCAGCCCACCCAGTCCCAGCAGACCCAGTTCTTAGGGCTCCCAGCTCTCTATTGCCAGAATGGGCTCTGGATCTAGCTCAAGGACACAGCAGCCACGTGGGGTTACTATTTGGTGCCATCTCCAGTGCCTTGAGTACTGGGCAGAGTACTCAAAAGAGGACTCTGTGGTACCCTGGGCCGAGACCCATCCTCCTCTGAGAAAGAGGGGTGGTAGGGAGAAAGGTGGTTCCAGTCATCTCACCAGAGATGGGCTTTCCAGTTCTGTACTGCTCAGAGATGAAGAACCTGCAGGGGCATATGGGAAGGGGGTGGCGGGGTCAGCATTCCTGATGGAATGGCTAGTGAGACACGCACATACACACACTCATTACTCTCAGTTACAGGCCCCCACTTGCGGGGCCCTCACACAACTCATAGTGGCCATCCACTCTCTCCCACACCCGTGGAACAGCACCCGCCTCCCCAGGGTGCTTCCCAGCCCAGCGCCTCCCTCCCTGGGAGAGCAGACTTTCTCCCTAAATCCCAGGTGTGATGGCTCCAGGTTGGCAGATGCTGCTTGGAGCGCTGCTTGGATGGGTCTGCTCTCCCCAGCCGGGAGAAAGAGGGGCAGGGGCTGGGTGGGGCCTCACTCCTGGATGATGGGGGCCAGCTGTGTGCCAAGGTCCTCACAGTAGAACCACTTCTCAAAGAGGACATCCGCAGTGTCTCCCATGTAGTACCTGCCAGAGCAAAGGACAGGCAATCTAATTCTCCACCTGGGCAGCCTCTGGGCAGCCTTTCTCAGGCCTGGCTGTGCGTGTGGACATCTGGGCGGGGCTGGCCCTGCAGAGCTGGCTGTTTGCTTCACCCTGTTAGTGCAACCTAGTGGCCACACATGGCTCTCCAAGAAGCAGCATTTGCCCCCAAAGTGAGTAGGCTATTATCTACCCTATGTGCATAGCTCTTTCTGGTTCCCAAAACTTGACCGTTTACAAAGTGGATAGATTTCTGAGAGAAGCTGGGCAGCTTGGGAGAGATTACACAGCCTGTAAGTGGCAGAAGCAGGATAGACTCAAGGCAGTCTTAGAAGTGTAGAGAGCATCAGTGAAAAGTGTCTTCATTTTTCCCAAAGCAGAAACTGAGGCTGAGCTTGAATCCAGGGCCTATGGCTGGATGCTCTTCCTGCCCGCTACAACCCTATGTGAGAGCACATGGAACCTTAAGGAATCAACATGTGGAAGATGCCCCTGGATGAGGGGTCCTTCTCCTTTTGGGGTCATGGATGCCTTTGAGAATTGGACCAAAGTGCTGGGCCTCTTCTCTGGAGAAAGTTCCACATACATGTACACATAGCCTCTAGTGGACTTCCTGAAGCCCACCCAAGTCCCCAGACCGGCTCAGTGAGCTCCTTCACTGGCCTGAGGAGTATCTGGAAGACCGGGGCCAAGCCTCAGGCCCCTGTGTGTGCATCACATCTGTTAACTGAATGCCCGATGCCCAGGCTCAGCTCCCAGGGCCAGGTCAGCTCTGTCTGCTCTTCAACTTCTCCCCAAAAAGAGAAGCGGCCCTGTTTATGGGAGATGGTTTATAGACACACAGTGCATCCGCCTCACTAGGCATCCTAAATTCTATCCTGGGATGGAGCTGGCCACCAGAAAGCATCATAACTGGACTGCAATGTGCTCCAGAAATTGCCTTCAGAGTGGAATTTTAATGTTGTATTCCTGGCTTTCATTAAAGGTCAAAAGCAGCCAGATGAAATCTGTTATTGAATTTGCTGTAAAAATATTATTGAGGAAACCGTCTTCTCCATTACTAAAAACTCCCTAGATAAAGCCCCACGGGAGAAATTTCTTCTAGAATTTAAAGCCAAGCATCTGCTTCTACAACAGGTTATTATGCTCTAGATTAGCATGCAGTCATTAACACAGTGTTTTTTGAAAAGCATTTAGTAGTATGAGAAATGCTCATGAGTTTTTCATGTAAAAAAAGTAAAACTCAAATTAATGCTTTCAATAAGACTGCAATGTTGTAAGTGCAGATATGTATAGAAAAAAGACAAGATGGAAGTTTAAGTGCTTTGTTAGGTTTAATTGGTGGGCTGACGACTTTTTTTGTTTTCTCTTTATTATTGTTTATTTTTTTGTTTTTTATTATTGTTTATTTTTTTGTTTTCTCTTTATTATTGCTTATTACTTTTCCTGACAGGTAATTTTAATTTTGTTTATGCTTTCTTGACTTTTCCAGATTTCAAGAATGAATGTGTATGACTTTGCTAATTAGAAAAAAAAAAGGAAACTCTAAAAAAAGTCCTTTATAACAGAAGATGTCAGTAACTTGTTGGGAATTTTTTATTTTCTTAGTTAATAAATGCAAAAGTAGTTTAGCTTTTGGAAGAATCTATGTCCCCCTGAGCTACAGGCTGCATCATCTTTTCATTTTCAGAGAATAATAATTGGATGACTGATCAGAACCAAATGGGAATTCAGCTCTAGAAACAGGGTAGGTGTCTCTGCCCCAAGGTCCTTCCTTCCTGATGCTGACTCCCACTCCTATCCTGACTGTCCTGGCCCTCATTTCATGTTTCTCTATCATGCCACCTTGCCATTTTCTAGTAAACTCGACTTCCCTGTGCCCAGTTTCTTTACCTGTAAAGTACAGACGATAACAATACCTGCCCCATAGAATCATTGCGAAGATTAAATAAATAAAGACACATAAAGCGCTTAGCCCCGTGTCTGGCCCATAGCAAGTGTTATACAAATGTTAGCGCTGGTTGTAGAATGAGTTGGGGCAGAGAAGCAAGCAGAGGGGCGCACTAGCAGAGACTGAATAAACTCTGGGGGGTGGAGGCTGGGAAAAGCAGCAGCGTTGTGGGCTGCCCTGGGCCAGGAGGGCTTGACTTTGGCTTTGGCATCCCTCCCCACCCCCACCAGAAGATCTCAGTGGGAAAATACAGCCAGAAGGGCCTCAGACTGAGTGGGCTCCCAAGGGTGCCACAGACAACATCCCTGCATCATCAAACCTACCCCGCCACCTACCCTAACCCTCCCCCATCAGCCAGCAAATACAGGATCTCCATTGCCTCCACCTGGCTCAGTACTTTCTTGGCTCTATCTAGGACCCTTTCCTTTGAGGCTTGCCACCCACTTCCCCGAGACAAGGCATATTTACCTGAGTCCATCTAGCTCGGTTTTCAGCCGCTTCCGCTCAATCACCAGCCCCACAGTGTTAGCAAACCTCTGTGGAGAGTGGGGGACCCCAGCAGGCAGGAGGAATATCTACAGTGGTGGGGACAAAGTGCCAATAAGGCTGCAATCTCCCACAGAGACCTCAGTGCCCGCAGCATCCTGGGCCTCCCAGTTCACACAGGGTCCAGCCCAGCCCACCTCTCTGCCCAGCCTATCACCCAGAACCGGAGGGAATGTTGGGCTGTGCTGATGATGGGGTAGCCCAGAGGAAGAAGTGCCCAAGGATGGGACCAGAGCTGGTTGGGACGACAGGAAGGCAGGAGAAGGCAGGAGGACGATACCTCAACCAAAGCCAGGATGAGTGGACACAGTGGGTTCCTGTTCTGGCAGCCCTTCGCCCCCCTGCCCCGGCCCCCTCGGGCCCAGCCTCACCTCTCCCTGCCGAATGACCACATCCCGGTGTTTCCTTTGTTCCAGGACTTGGAGAACCATGTCGCCCTTCAGCTGATAAAACAACTGTGGGACAAGACAGCAGACAGGCTTGGACCCTTCAGCTGATAAAACAACTGTGGGATAGGACAGCAGACAGGCTCCCCCTTCCAGCTCCTTAGCCTGAGTTCTGACTGAGAAACCTGAGAAAAGTTCCTAAAGGCCTTGAAGTCTATGAGCAGCTCTGTCACTCCCACCCTGAGGCCCCAACCTCCCCTGGCACATGCCACAGACAGAAATACTGGTGACACACAAGGATCACATCTTGACATGCGAGTGATGACCAAAATACCCAGGACGCAAAACAGCTGGTGTCTGGCTTGGGGGCAGGAGGCTGGCTGAGATGCTCACTGGAGAATGCAGTGACCCTTCGGCGAGGTAAGGAGAACCACCCACACTCTGTATCCCAGAGGCTGTGCAAGCCCCTGTACATTATCCGAAATCTTAACAACTTCCAAAGGTACTACTAGTCCCATAATGCAGAAAAGAAAAAGGAAAACAGGCTCAGAGAGTAAAGCCGCTCTCTTAAGGTAACAGTCTTGGAGTCGCAGTTTGGACCTAAGTCTGCATGTAGATCTGGAGCCTGTTGGCTCTTCTGGGCACGGTGATGCCCTGGTACGGGGCAGGGCTGTGCCTGTCTAAATCCTTCTGGAGGTCAGCCATGTAAATGGTGGACTCAGTGATGCTGGAAGCTGTGGGGGATGTGAGCACTCACTTCCTGCTACCTCTCTGGGGTGCGATGGGGTGGGAGGGGGGCTCCTACTGCATTTTCTCTATTCTGTTCTAAGTCCTTAATTAATGTGTTTACTGAGCTCACCCTCATGGAGTTGGGAGGAGGAGGGGGCAGACACATTTTCTCTCCACCAGTCACACATTGCGCAGGTGTTAAAAGCCCCAGCCAAATAGTTGAAGGGGTGTTTTAATAATAATTATTATTATTATCATGTACGGAGCTAGAGGAGGTAGAAGTTCTTGTCAGTATCTACTAAGAGAAATCAAGCCAAGCGGCTTTATAGTCTGCCATGAGGGACAAGTTGACACAATCCTTCTGAAGGGCAATTTGGCAGAAAGAACCTTCACAGCTCACACCCCTGTGGGGCGGCTGGAGGGGTTTCTTGGGATGCAGGACCTTCAGCGCTAAAACTGAAAAAGCCCAGGACAAACCAAGACAGTGGCCACCTTATACTGTTGCCCTAATGATTCCATCTTTAGGAAGGCGGCTGCAGTGAATCAGAAATGCACCCGCTTTGAGGTGTACATACATGGCTGTTTCATCACAATGCATGATAGTTAAAAGCATCACCTGGCCCTCAGCTCAGCCAGGTCACCGTGTGCCCTTGGGCAGTTGGGTTAGCTTTCTTATGTCTCCATTTCCTCATCTATAAAATGACAGCGTCGACTCAGAATGTTGCTGTGAAGTCTGCTGGGACACTGTACACAAAGTATCCATGACATAGTTAGTACTCATAAACCTCTAGCTAATATTAGTGATGGCAGGAATAGCAAAATAATGCTAGTAACAATTAGAGGGGAAATGTCACTATTTTATGATAGAGTCAAAATATGAAACATTATGCAGACATTAAAAACTATTTTTGAATAACTGTTAATAAGATGGGAAAATGGAAAATGCTAAAGTTATGTTAAACCAAAATTCAAAGCTACACCCAGCAGGATTCTAATTATGTAGTAAGACATGTATAAACGCAAGCCGTGTTCACAGTGGTTGGATTCTCTGAGTGGTGGGATTATGGATGAAACATACATTTGGTTTTTTTTTTATATTTTGCATGTTTTCTACAAAAAATTATTTACGTTTATTATTAAAAATAACCCATACAAGATATTTACAATACACAAGAAAAAACCTACCAGGTTCTTTTAGGGAGCAATTCTGCAAGCCCACTCCTGATTCCCTCAGCTAGGAGGAAACCCCAATGTGTGTGAGAGGGTGGGGGTTCTTCCATGGTTGGGAGAGAAGAAGGGTCCAGAGAGCTCTAGGGAGGGGACCATAGCCCTTGGGCCTTGCAAATATCAGAGAAAACTGGAGTGGGGGTCTGATAGTCTGGGCCAGATTCAAACTCATCAGGGCAGGTACAAGATGTTAGCAGCCATCAAACAAAAACAGAAAAGTGGCATTTTCCTCAGTCTTGTTCCCATGCCCAGGGCCTCCCTTGTGTGAGGGACAGGCCTGGCCGGGGGCCGAGGTGCAGACCCAGAACAGCAGAAAATTCCAAACAGCAGAGGGCAATCTAAGAGGAATTATGCTCTGTTTAGAAGTAAATGATGTTTAGGGCCTGGGGCTGGGTAGATTAACTGTCCTGGCTGGGCAGATATTAAATTGAATCTAGCCTCTGGGGCCCAAAAAGGCCTTATAGGCAGAGGAAGCCGGAAAGGGGCTGGGGGTGCAGAGAACCAATGCATATTAAGAAGCTACTGTGCACCAGGCTGTGTGCACACACTATACACATTCACCAGGCACAGCCAGTGTCCCCATGTATTGCAAGGAAACAAGCTCAGAGAGACGATGTGATGTGACCTGTCCACGATCGCATCATTAGAAAGAGGCAGACTCCCAGCCCAAACCTCCTCACACTATGTGCCCAAAGGGAAAGACTGGGGGAAGTGGAATATGTGTGGTAGGCGGAGCCAGGGCACCTGTGGGGCTGAGCTCAGGAAGGAGGAAAGTTGGCTCAGTGACTCCCCTTCTCTCATCAGGATGGATTTGGACCTTGGGGCTGGGGTTGCTCCTACAACACAGCCTGGAGTCTCCCCGGGCTCCAGCTGGGTGAGGACAGGTAGGGACAGAGAGGGTACCAGCCCTCTGCCCCGTGGCTTCCCAGAGCCTGTGGCTGGTATTCTCCTCTACTTCAAGATGGGACCAAGCTGTCACGAACCCACCTTTCACCAAATTTCCCTCAGCCGCTTGAGAGTCCCTACAGAGTGGGGACAGCTGCTTAGGCCAGCCCTCATCTGTCAGCTACCCAGTTAAGTCAGAGCATGGCCTGGGTCCCTATGTGGTTCATCCACCAGAGCAGCTTGGGGGAAACCCCGAGGTAGGACATGGGGTAGAGATGGTAGGGGACAGGAAGGGACAAAAGGAAGGAGAAAGACAGGAGAAGTGGGCACTGAGACCAGGGCTACCGAGTGGAAGCCTCCAGAAGACAACATATGTGGCTTGAAGCTAACGAAGGCAGACAGGAGACACCCTGCAACCCGTCTAGTCTCCAACACCATGGTCGCTCCCAACCCAATCTTATCTTCTCTCCGCAGTTTTGCATTTCCCTGCTGCTTTTTCCACAGAGGAAAATGGTCTCCAGTGAGGTGTGGTGTGAGAAGAGAGTGGCGAGGGGAGGTGTGGGTCTTGGAAGTATGAGAGGTGAGGGGTTGGCTGGCTGTGCTCTGCCAAAGCCGCTTTCTGCTGGCCCAGGATCCTCACCCCCACTGCCCCTGACACAGTAGGTGCTCAGTAAATATTTGTTGAGCGAGTAATTCTTCTGGCCCCAGCTGTGGCTGAGTCGCCAGCAGTGGAGGTAGAGGCTGGTGACCAAGCTGGACTCTGGACCTCCAACCTTAGCACTAGTGCCCCCAGGAAGATAGGTAGGGGGCCCCCGTATTGATCCTTTGTCAACAGAGGTTCTGATAGCTGGAACCCACCTGCGTCCCTCCTTTTTCTCCTAATTTTACCCCTGTTTATTTACTTTGGGGTAGGTAGTATAGAAACACAGTCCAAAACTCAAGGTACAAAAGGGTATGCAGTAGAAAATAGCAAATTCCCCCTTCCACCTGCCCGGCCTTCTGCCAATAGCTTCCAGCAACTGATGTGTCTTGTGCTCTCTAGATAAGGAAGGGCCTCCCAGTGCCAACACTTGCCAGACAACTTGGCTCCTGGGACCAGAGTGGAGCACCCAGGTCCCCCTCAGTGTTTGGGCCTCATTTTGGAGGCCAATCTTGCATATTAAGGTTTGCGGGGAGGAGACCAGGACATCCCACCTAGAGCACGGACAGTCCCTGTGTCCAGAGGGTGATGCCAACAGCTAGAGCCTCTCATACCTGCAGTGGCTGGGCTCCTTCTGAAGATGGAGCTGTCAAAGGTGCCTACATCTTCCAGGCAACAGTATTATCCTGTGATTTTGGTTGATTTCCCTTTGCTCATCAGCCATCTGACCACTCCATCTCCTATTCATAGGCCCTGGTCCTGGCATGGGAAGTGTCCTCTACCCCCAGGGCTGAGTCAGTGGGGCAGTCTGCAGGCCTACCTCCTCACCCTCCTCGATGTGGTAGTCCTTCCTGATGTTGGGGCCCCCGACGAACATGACTTTGAGCTGCTTCTGATGCCTGCAATAGATGAAGGGGGAGAGGTGCTAAATCAGCTCATGAGAGAAAACAGGAGTGGCCTGTCGGGGAGCCTGAAAGGAGCCTGGGTACATCTGGAAGAGGTAACAAGACTGTTTCTACACCATTGTCCTTGTCAGTGTTTGATGTTTGTCTCCTTCTACTCTCATCCCAGGGTGCCCATGACTATCCAAGAGTGGCTGTGTCTGTCCGAGACTGGATATGTGCCTATGTCTTTCTGTATCTGTGTCTTGATATATTTGCGTGTGTGCGTGTCCCTCTGTGTGCATCCCCCACATCCTCTGACTCGATAGGGGAATGGCGTGGCGGTGGGTCTATCTCTTTATCAGTCAGGATCCTTGGACTATGCTAAAGAGCTTTATATACAGGAGAGCAAACTAAAGGCTCCACTTGCTATAGGGGTAAAATGACCTTTATCTACCCCCCTCCCCCCACAGAGCTGTCTGATTATGAGACTGTGTTCCCCCAAAACTGTTGGGCTTAAAGCTGTGAAGCACTTGGGGAAAGAAGTAGAAGGAGGAGTTGGGTGCAGAGGCCCTGAGACCAGAAACAATGGGGGTCCTGGTGGTGCGGGAGTGGTCTTGGGGAGTGATGGAGAGAAGGCTGGATCAGGATGGCAGACCAGGTCACCCCAGGCCTGGAGAGCTCAGCCAAGGAATTTGTGACCTTACAGATAGCAGCTGGCAGCACTGCCCCCCACGGCTGAGAAACTGGCCTGAGGGATGCCAGGGGGCCTAGGAATTCTTTTTCTTTTTTACTCATCTTTACCGAGATATAATTTAGGTACATATGCGTGTGTGTGTGTGTGTGTGTGTGTGTGTGTGTGTGTGTGTGTGTCCCCGCACACGCACATGCACGCATCTGCCAGCAAAGAGGAGAACTGAAAAGAGCAATACACCAAGATCTCCCCACTGGAGATGACGATCCTCCGACTTCACTCTCTGCCAGGTGCTTCCTGGACAAGAGTAGGGGTGTGTGACTGGGCCGTCCCCAGAGGTAGGTTCCACTGTAATTCTGGGGAGTAGAAAACCACCCTCCCCAAACTCATGAGAGTCACTGGGGGTGAGAGAGCAGTTTCTCAGCCGTGGGGGGCAGTGCCGCCAGCTGCTCTCTGTAACTCTCCTCGCCTCGTCCACCCAGCCATCCTCAGAAATCAAGGTCACAATCTCCACGCAGAGTCGTCAGAAAGAGGAACAAACCAGGGTGGTGGAACCCCAAACGGCTCGCCCATACCCTCCCTTGAAGACACCATGAGGATGATAGCCCCTCTTCTGCAGGCTTCTGGGTCAAGGAAATCAGAGCTGGAGGTCGAGGGGTGAGAGGTGCAGATGGAGGTGGAGAAGGTGAGGAGCGGGGCGCGCCTGGGACTCACAGGAGCTTGTTGCAGACAGGAGGAAGGAAGGAGTCCCGGTTCTCTTCCACCCAAATCCGCACTCTCACAGGACGGTTCATGGATACCCCGGGAGCCGCTGTACTCTGAGCGACGTCCTGGGGCCGTCGGAGGAGGAGCACGGCTCCGCCCAGCAGCCTATTGGAGGCCTCGGTTATCAGCATCCGGGTGTTCAAACACCCCCGGGGCTGGGGACCCACGTGGGGGTCTCTGTCGGCTTTTGGTCTGAGTGTCCCTGCACCTCCGCGCTCCCACTTCCCCGCCAGACACCCGCTCCGTCCCGCCGCACACCCGGGGGCGCCCCACACACCCCCGTCGGGGTTGGGAGTCTGAGACAGGCGTAAGACACAGGATAGAGAACCTTCCTGGTCCCTTGTCCCCAGACTTCCCTTCTGGGCCCCAAGGGAGCTCCAAAGAAACACTGCGTTGGGGAGCAGGCGGATTTGGAAACCCGAGCGCCTGAGTGCAGGGGTGCTGGCATTGCACTGAAGCCTCAATTTCCTCGTCTGAAAAATGGGACTGTCTGCGCAGCCATCTCAGAGTTGCATAGCGGCCACCACAGGCATCGATTAATGTTATCCCCTGTCTTGCCAGAGGACAGAGTCAGGCCAGAGTCCCCGGTTACTGAGTGCCACTGGCGGCCCTGCCTCGGGCTGGGTGAGGGGAGCGGTTCGGGAAGGACGCGAAGAGGGATGGTGAGCGCACTGCGCGGACCCGCCCGCCGGGGCTGGAGAGCAAAGGGTTCTGAGCTCCTTCCCTGTCTTAGGAACATAGTCAGGCCACACGACAACTCTATGAGGAGTTTTACAGATGAAGAACCGGGCCCTTGGTGTCCCAGCCCTCAAGAACCTCGGGGTCCGGGGCTGGGGAGGGTGGACAACCCTGTACTAATGTTGGTTCCAAACAACATTCTAGCGGGTAGGAGAGGCTCTGACTCAGTTACCCGAGGGCTCGTAGAGCTCTGGCACCTGGTGTGTGGGTGTGAAGCAGGAGGAACGGGTGGAGTGAGGAGAAGCGGGATGGACGATCGACGCCTGCCTGCTTCTCTTTCTTCCGGACTCGGAATTCTTAGGGAAACTGCGCGCTTGTGTTGGAAGAGGGTAGGGTGGAGGAGCGGGTAGGTGCAGGGAGAAGGAAAATAGCTCAGACTAGGACACCAGAATCCAGATTCTAGGGTTCAAGAAATTCGAAACGCCTCCAATTCTGCTCACACCCACCCCCAGTCCTTCTTGCCCCCTCCTTGCTGTCTGGGGTAGGCCGGTGTTCTCAGCACCCTCAGACACGGAGACGCCCCCGTGCAAATCAAAACCCAGACAGACAGGAAACAAAATTCCCACCCAGCCCTCTGGGACAGACCCGCCTGTTTCTTCTCAACTCCCACCCCATTTTCCTCTTTATCCCTTTCTCCCTCTTTTTTCTTTGTAATTATTTATTTAGAACTTTTTAACCGAGCCTTTCTTTCTAGAATATTGTTTGGAACCAGAATAATTCAAACCATATTCCTATCTTTCTCATCTACAAGTAATCAGAGGATATGTAAACAGTGACACATGAAACATCAAGGATCTGTGATATGTTAGGTATGGATGTTTGTTAAATGGATGATTGGGTGGGTTGGTGGATAAAGTCATGAATGAATTCACAATAAAAGGGAAAAAAATCATTTCAGCCCGACAGATGTTCTGTTACATAATACAAAGAAAAGAATGATAGTTACCCTGCATTTTAATCTATCAAGTCACATAATGTAAATAATTGAGACCACAGGTGAACGTTTGAGGTCTGAATTACCCAGAGGAATCCTAAACACAAGCTAAATAATCTGCTGTATGGTCACTGTCACATCTGCCCTCTGGTTTGTGCTGTGTAAATAAATCACCATGTCTATTCGACTGGCTTGGGTGTGGGCCACCATTTGAAAGCACTCTGGGAATAGTCTTCTGCCTATTCTCCCCGTTCACTGTTTTTCTATTAAGTTGATGTATTCTACGGTTCAGCTCATCTATTGAGTTTTAAATTTCAATGGTTTCATGTTTTTACTTACAAATTTTAATTGGTTCTCTCCTACAACTGGCTGTCTTGATTTCATGGATGTGATACACTCCCTTATTTTTTCAAGGAAACTGTTTCAAACTGTGAACTCTCTATCAGTGGAGATAATATTAGCTGCTGAAACCTGGGGGGTGGGGGGTGGGGGAAACAAAAACCTACCCCAAACTCACTTCTCATTCTTATGAAGTACAATGGGGAGGCAGCACCACATCATCCTTGATTTAGGGACCTGATTTGACAGATGTTGACACAGGATCTTGTCTGCTTCATCATGTATCTTCCAATATCACCCTGGGCATTGAGATCCAGCAGGCAGAAAAAGGAAAAGAGAGAGTGGAGGCACTTATAGGCCAAACTTGGCCAGGGTGGTATACACATGTCTGTTTACATTCTACTGGCTGAAATTTAGTCAGTGGTTTCACTTAACCTCAAGGGAGACTGGGAAAGGTCTGGCTTGTCTCTCTTTAATGATATTGGTTTTCCTCAAATGTTTAGTGATCTTGTGCAAAGTCATCTTTATGGTTGACATTCTTTGTTAGGCTGTCTCTGTTTGCACAGCCTACTGAGGGGAAGAGGCGAGAGCGGTACTCTGTGCTATTTTCAGAGTGTGGGTAGTCAAAACCTGCCACAAGATAGTGTATCTCAGCAGCTGGTCTTCTTGGTTAGGGCACTCGCAGTTTCTACTGAGTGACCCTAGCCACCCCAGGCACACTGCCTTGTCTCTCTGCTCTACATTCCCACATTCATTGCTCCCTCCCACCTGGAGCAGACATCCCATCCCAGTTGCCTGGGCTATGACACGGGTGCCGCTTCCTGCTCCTGCTTCAGTGTCCCAGCTAATTACCAGCTAGTTGTCCCTGGACCTCTTCCTACATATTCATTTCCCTTGGGTGTGAAGCACCCTAATGGCTGCTCCCAGTACCATTGGAAAGACTCTTCTTGGATAGTCTATGCATTGTGGGCTGAGATTTCCTTCTTCAGTCTAATTTTGCCTTCTTCAATCTAATCTTGCTGTTTCAGTTCCAGGTCTATTAAGAGTTCCTCTTTCTGTGTGTTAGTGTATTTCGGTATCATTTATTTTATATTTATGTTTCATTTATTGGATTTGGTGTTTAACATTTCTGAAACTGCCAGACTTTTTCCTAAAGTGGCCGCACCATTTTATATTCCCACCAAGTGTGTGAAGGTTCTGATTTCTTCACATCTTCACCGTGGTTTGCTATCATCTGCCTTTTTGGGCTCCCACACTTTTATATTCTCAATCTCTTACTCACTTCTCTGGGAACTCAGTGGAAACTTTGAGAAACTCTTGACATTTAGACCTGCTGCTACTTACCACTACTTTCCTTAGCTAGTTTCCTCTGGGATCAGAGTGCAGTGTGAAGTCTGAGGAGCCTAACTAATTACGACAGCAGTAACACCCTCTCTGGTTACCACTTACTGAATGGTTACTACATGGCAAACTCTGTGCCAATCCCCACACGTTCTCTCATTTAATCTGCACATACAGATTAGAAAACTGAAACCGAAGTTCAGAATATTAACGAGCACCCACAAAGGTCCATAGCTGGTAAGTAGAATTACCAATGTAAAGAAACTATGCCCAACTGGCATCAAGGCCTGTGCTTTTCCCACTGTGACATAGTGTTTCTTTTTAAAGAGTTCTACCCCTGATTAACTCCAATGGAGCTGCAGCGTATGGCGGTATTGGAGGGCTAGGGATTTGGTTCTAAAGTGAGTAAAATGAAAGTTCCGTATAGTTAAAATCAAATTAGAAAATTCTTTATATCACTTATAAAGTACAGTCTGCAGTAATTCTTAGACGTGAAAGCTTAGGAACCACTGACCTAGAAGAACCAAAGGAGGTAATAAAAGGAAAGTCTATGTGGCAGATGCTTGGACATTTGGTCTGGTCTGCTCTTAAGATAACGCTTATATTTCTAGATGAATAGAGGTTGGGTAGGTTGTTCTCAAAACATTCCTGTTTGCCTGCAGGGTTACTGCATTCTGTATGATATTAAGCCCTTCGTGCCAGTTATTAAGTTACTGTCTCTCAACTCCAAACTCACTTTCTATACTCTGCATTGTTCTACAGGGCCTGAGATTTTGCAAATTCCATTTATACTGTGCCAGCTGTTTCTAGGAGGCCTTGCAAAACGGAGGTAATAGAAAGAGGCTGCAAGGATGGAGGAGGAAGAAGGAACTTGCTCCTTTCTGATTGCTTCCTGTCTGCCCGTGGTTCCTGGGCTCATTGCTTTGGTTTCTTCCCTTAGCAATTTCTAAATCAGATTTGCAGTTTTCCCAGTTCTTGTGGAATTAGCTTTACAGTGACTCCAGCAGAAATACCAATACTAGAAGTTGGCGTGCCCTTTCAATTCTGTAGAAGTCCTACAATTTCCAAGATTCAGTTTCTTCTTAGGTTCCCCCAGCCGTAGGGGTGGTAGCCGCTTCTTACAGTTGCTAGTTCTGTGATACTGCAGAATTCTTTTTTTTTTCTTTGACTTTTTAGTTACCAATTTATTTTTTATTTTTAACATTTTATTTTTTAATTTTTTTCCCCTCCCCAAGTAACAGTTTTAAATCTAGTTAACGGTTCTCTGTATTACATTCTCTTTGTTAAATAACGGGCATGGTTTTTGTCTCTCAACTAATATATTTTTATAAGCTTAATTCTTCATATTACAAGACTCGTTTATGATTGTGATTTGCAACTCAGGGAGGGTTACGTTCTAAAATTAGGACATCAAATAGTAAAAGTGATTGGCCCTCCAATATACTGCTTCTTTAATGTGATCAAAGGTGGCTGTTTGGCCATGGGATGGAGCCTGCAACCTCAGCTAAGACCCTACTGGACAGGATAGGGCAGCTGAGGAGAAAGTCCTTCATCTGCGCTGTGGTCACTGTCAGCTTTTCAGGACTTTCTGCAGATAGAACAGGAAGTTTATGTCTCCCTGTCACCTCACAGGTGGAAGGAACTTGGGGAGACATTTGTAGACCAGCTCTATAATGA